AAAATCGTTAGTTGGGTCACATCGGGAAGATACGTCGGCCTTCATGTGGATATTAGCAATCACAACATGTATTGATACCGGAGTATTGTGACTTCTATACTTTCAAGACATATGATATCAAAGCCATATCATTGAGACGCGTCGTGTCGTGACACAACCAACAAGACATGTCATATCATGGCCATACTAATGAGACGTGTTGTGTCGTGTTGTGATACAACCAATGAGACATGTTATATCATGGCCATACTGTCGAGACGTGTCGTGTCATGATACAACCAATGAGACATGTCATATCATGGCCATACCATCGAGAAGTGTCGAATCATGACACAACCAACAAGACATGTCATATCATGGCCATACTGTCGAGACGTGTCGTGTCATGACACAACCAATGAGACCGTCATATCATGGCCATACTATCGAGACATGTACGTATGTCGGTCGCCGATATCGCGATGCAACCAACGAGACATGTCATATCATGGCCATACCATCGAGACATGTCGCGTCGTGATGCAACCAACGAGACATGTCACATCATGGCCATACCATCGAGACATGTCGTGTCGTGATGCAAGCAACGAGACATGTCATATCATGGCCATACCATTGAGACAAGTCGTGTCATCAAGACATGTTGAGACATATTATATCATGACCATACCATCACAACATGTCCTATCATCATGAAGTCTCCTGGTTCTGATGTTACTTTTACCTTCCAGCATTTAAAATGATCGAGGGGGACCAGGCAGCATTTCAGAAGTTTGTGTACCTGCTTGGCAACCTCCTGTGTCTGGCCATGGCAATATACAAGTGTCAAGTGATGGGGCTGCTTCCTTCCCATGCATCAGACTGGCTTGCTTTCGTCCAGCCTCAGGAGGTTTATATTCTTATTTGCATTTTATATTCTTATTTTAATGCAAAACTTCAATTACTTTATAAAATGCTTTTTCTGAAGATAATAAGATATAGCTAATGTCATCATTTTGAGTCTTACCAGACATGCAACTTAGTAGACACATCATTCCAGGGATGACAGTTGATTGGGAAAGTTGCATCTTGTCTCATTGTTTTGATGAGAACTTTCCTCCTTTTAATTAAGTTTTAAGATTTTGTAAACTATAAGTCATCTTTCCTGAATGTTGTTAGATGTTGGACTGTTTATGATTTTTGTTATGATGTGAAATTCAAAAGAATATTTTTATTTATTTCCAGAGAATGGAATGGTCTGGCGGTGGAGTGATGATGTGAATCTATCTGTGTCCTGATGAATCTATCTATTATCTATGTACCTGTCTTGTCAATAAATGTAACATGTGTTGTCAAAAGGGTGTTTTACATTTATACTTGACCATGATGGATAAATGCTTAGTCAGCATTTTATCCACTGATTCTGTATGCTCTCCTATTCCTCCTTGCTCTGAGGGCGGTGGGGTAGCCTAGTGGTTAAAGCGTTACAAACTCGTCGGGCCGAAGACCAGGTTTGATTGCCCACAAAGGATACAATGTGTGAAGCCCATTTCTGGTGTCCCCGCCATGATATTGCTGAAATATTGTTAAAAGCGGCATAAAACTAAGCGNCACTCTCACTCTTTGCACTGAACATGCTGAAGTAAATCTTGGTTCCAGGGGAGAGCTGGTCATTATGGACGGTTGATGAGTACTTATTATACATGCATGGGTTGCCTTTAGGCCAGGAGGAAACTCTCATAGTGTAATTACACCTAGACATTTTCGAAAACAGGCAAATATTTGTGCCAAAATTATTCTCTTATTCATGTAATAATAAAAACCACACCCCAAGATCAACTTCTGGCTGAGTTGTGAATTTTGAGTTTGATTTCCAGTCGAATTTGCTAAATGTCATTCTTGTATGCTAAGTAATTAGCACAGTACCTGTTGCTACCAAACAACATGGACCCACCTGTAATCCCTCCAGGTCATTGTGGGTTTTGTGTCAAGGCAATGATTCAAGAAGGAAACACTCAGCTATGTCAGGGTAGAGATTACGATATGGTAGAATCTCCAGTTCTACCAGTAGAGATTGCGATCGGAGTCTCTACTGGTGGAATCTCCGATCCTACTAGTAGAGATTGCACAGAGGAGGTCTGTGTCTACACCAAGTTCTACATCCACAATATATTTACTGTTCTGTATTCCAAAGAGTGTTCATTATATCAGTGGGTAAGACTAGGTTGTAATCACAGTCACGCCTGATTGATTTGTCTGACAATTGGGATGTATGACTTTTGGGACGTAAACCCCCTCCCAGGAATCCAGTCATTTCCCCACCTGGTCAACACTTGGTCAATTCTTCACCTACTATATCCCCACCCCATCGGAGATTCTACCAGTAGAGACTCGATCGAAATCTCTACTAAAGTACTGTCGAAATGCTAGAAATATGCTTTTTGACTTTTATGTAAAAATCAGAGATATTACAGTTGCTTAAATAACAAATATCACTTTAAGAAACATCTACCTAATGTAGACCGGGGAATAAATTTTGAGACATGCCCTAAAATGTGTTTTTACATATGAAAATATAAAAAACTTAGAAAAATAAGGGGTAGTGTGTGTGTGTGTGTGTGTTTGTTTTTTTGAAATAATCATTAGCATTATTGTGCATAAGAAAGAATCCCATCACTTGTGTTATTTTATCGATTGATTGTAGAAATGTGCAGCGTTTTAATAAATGTTTTGCATGTCAATAGTATATTTCTTTGCAAAATATATGGATGTGATTGGTCAATTTAATCCAGTTGTGAACATTGGCCAAAGATTTAACTAAGTCACTGGTATAGCTTCCCAGTTTTGCTTTTGAGACGGTCCCTGTCTTGTCTGATTTGTTTACAATATTGTAAACTTGTTGATAAGACATACCAACAGATCTACAGGTTTTGTAATAAACCCTTTCTAAACTAATGAAAGGTTTACCTCTGTCTTTCTCAAGCACAAAAAACTTATAAACCTTTGCAACAATGGAAGACTGCAAATCGTTGGCCATAGTGAGCAGCTGTGATAAACATGTGCATGCATGGCGGAAACTAATTTATTAAGACTTAACATTTACATTAATTTTTCTTCAATGAAGAAATGATAATTAAGTCAAGTAACACAAACATTCAACATTTTATTTGTTTAAGAGAAACGTTAATTTATATTTTTGCACCACCTGTATTATTAGCATAAATTTAAAGACTATTTCAGATTTCTCATGTTAAACTCTGAAAAAATCTTGAGTTGTTGTTTTGGTACCACATTCTCTCCTGTAAACTGCCCTTTAAATGCATGGAAATGTTAAATTGATTGAAATAAAAATTAGGTACACTATAGGCGAGTTGATATATTGACAACATAGTTCATCTATCACCTTAATCAAAGTATTAAGGTTAAAAAGCATTTTTCTAGCATTTCCGACAGTACTTTAGTAGGATCAGAGATTCTACCAGTAGAGGCTGTGATCGCAATCTCTACTGGTAGAATCTCTGATTCTACCACATCGCAATCTCTACCCTGACATATCCTTCCTCTCAATATTGATCACTGTTTGTTTGTTGTTACTCCTTGTACCACGCCTGAGTGTCGGTTCCTTTGATCTTACCCGTGGTGTATGTGCTGGAAGACAACAGTTTTGTCTTGAAGGCAGATTTCGTCTGCCATTGGCTCCTAAAAGCCACGCCCCACGGCAAGAGGACTGAACTCAACATTGTTCAACATTGTACACAACTTATGTCAGTCAAGGTTTGCAACAAGGAAATGTAACTTCTACAGTTTTAATGGTTTCAAATGAATTTACAAGCTGAAATTGACCAACTCTTTTATTTATGAGAACAAAATGCTGTAATAAAATGAAAAACGTATACATGTACTTTATATGTCCCCCACCATTAGAGTGTCTACATCGTACTCATTCACTGTTTGTGAAAGAGTGAGCTGGGAAAGTCCCTCAAATGCATGAAATTCATTTTCCATGACTGATGCGATCTGTGACAGTGTGAAGTCGTCTATGTCCTCGTCCCACACTACCTGTGCCCTCATTTTGGCAACTAGACTGAGAATGAAACGGTCGTTAAAACTTTAAAATTTTCCCGCTTCCCATACATAATAGGCGTGGTACAAGTCAGTTAGCTCATCCAATCCTCGATCTGTGCTCGTATACACCACAGTTTTGCCGGAGTTGATTGACAGGTGTTGAGGAAGCTCGAGCAAAGCTCTCGCGTCTCCCACCTGTCAATTAACTCCGGCAGAACTGTTGTGTATACGAGCACAGATCTCGGTTTGAAATGATCTAACTAATACATAGAACATTCACTGCCCAAGGATTGTACTTTTGAGTTTGTTTGCTTTAAAATACAATTTGGCTTCATTTGTTTACTGCTTCAAATCACAAATTCTGAAAAGTGCCACAGAACAGAAGTGTTCCTTCTGTAGTGCACTTGTGTGGGTGTAGATTCCATGGACCTAAAAAAATACCCTCAACAATATAGCTGTATAACTTCAAATCAGATCTTCCCATGTATATTATTTATCCAGATGCAGAAATCAGATTATTTACTACATCTTGAGAATTCAGATAATTTGGTACATCAAGCACTTAACCTGCCACCTACCAAATAGCTTATTTTGCTTCCATGGTCCTTCAGGTTTATGTATTCAAAACACAAGGAAGCTTATTTGACATTCAGTTGTTTCTTAATTCACACAAATAAACATATACAATCTACAATAATACACTTATATGCAAGTAATATTAAACATTTCTTTTGGCTATTTAACTAGGTGTGGAAATAATGTGATTGAATCTTGGCATAGATGTATACTTCTTTGTACCGTTTAATTGCACTTGTAAACCAAGATCTTGAAATGCTAGAATCTAATAATCAAATCTAAAGGTAGAATATCCTCCAATGACAAAGGGACACAACTCTGCATGGTACAGTTTTTTACCTGAGACAACTGGGCAGTCTAGAAAGCACAACAATACGCAGTTAATATCTAAAGACATTTATTATATAAAGGCACATTGACTTTATTTGTACAAAACTAAGGGCACTATTTGTTACAATCCATCTGTATGATTCTGAAGTTATATCTACACTAGCTTTACACTTTAACGACATCACTACTGAACATATAAATTAAGATATTAAGACTACATGTAAAATGCAGTAATGTTAAAAATGATTCTAAAAACGTTTCTGTTGGAGGGAACTCAACATTACAGAGGACGGTATCAGTTTCATACAGCTGTAACTATGTATCACAGACAATAATAAATAGATCTTTACACAAAGTACGGCTACGTATCACAGACAACAGGATAAGACACTATGTACAATATATTCTGAGAAAGGCACACACTAATTTACTGTCACTAAACAACAGCTGACTGGCCTGGTCTTATGGCAAATGTACAGACCCGTGCAAAAAGTATTCGGACACTTGACGTAATTTCCATAGACTTACATGTTAATTCAGTGTAGCATAAATAATTTTCATGAAGTGAGTTTGGGATGGATCTATGTAAAATTTGACAGGCAAATTTGAAATCATCTCTGCTCTGTGCACATAATTTCCGTTCAATTTTCCGACCACTATTTAACTAATGACATCACATTTACCAACTTGCGTATGGTTCCAAAATGCACACTCCCATAGGCTGCCATGTTAGGAGTTCACGGCACTGTACATATGTTGATTAAATTGTTTCTATTCGATAAATAAGCAACCGAAAATTAAACAGAAATTATGTGATTATAGGTAAGATGATTCCTCACAGATGTGCAACTTTGACTTGGATCTTATGAAAATAAAGTCATGAAAATTATTTATGCTACACTAAATTAACATGTAAGTCTATGGAAATTACGTCAAGTGTCCGATTACTTTTTGCATGTGTCTGTACACGCATTCAATACTCAGGACACAGATCACATATTTGTTAAAATAATGCAGTATCTGACAGCACTTTTATTCGACCAGTGATACTTCAGTGATTATGGTATGTCCAGGCAACGTTAATATTCCAGTAACACTTAGATGTATTCAGCCCTTCTTTCAGTGACACTCAGGTGTTCTATCCATAAGTCAATGACATCAAATCATGCACGGTACATCATTCAGTCAGGACAAGGCATTCATTCATGATTCAGAACAAAGCTTCAGTATCATTCATTCATTAGGTCAGCTGGGTTGAGTTCAGTATGTGCCCTCCACCTGCATCTCCCTCTCCACGGCCTCCAGAGCTGCCAGACATTCCACTGTCAGGTTCATCTGGCCGATCACCTTTGTCTCGTCATTCACGTCCAGAACTGAAAAGTCCAGTACAATGATGACCACAGGATTCAAAGGCTAAAGTATACATGTGACAGAGATCTTAAAAATTGCCTCTTATGTAAAGCATGTTTCACTGAAAATCAATTCTAACCCAGATCTTCGTGGGTATAATTGGAAAGGAAGGTCCAAAGAGATATATTTCTCAGATATTTACAATTGCGGGTCAAACCCATTAGAATCAGTATGGTGCTGACAAACCATTCATCATAATCATGAACAATGTGGGATGTCAAACCCTATGCTAACACAGCAAAGCAAATTGCTGAGACAAACGGGCCACCAGTGTCCCCCAATACTTATCATGTAGATTAGATCCTTAATGACCATGTGATATTTGACTCCTGATGAGATACTCACTATCAATATCTGTATCCTTGACATCCTTCTTCTTGAGTAGAATGTCCTTGACACTGACATAGACCACACCCACATCCTCACAGTCTGCATCCTGGTCGTCCTCCGGTGGTTCACTGACCAAAGTGAACCTGATCCTGAATAGAGAGTTCAATTTAAAAGTGAGTGGGAGTGTTTGGTTTAATGTACCTCTGAATAGTTTTTGGGGGTTATATCATGGCACCTGAGTGAGTGAGTTTGGTTTTACGCCGCCTTCAGCACTATTCCAGCAATATCATGGCGGGGGACACCAGAAACGGGCTTAACACATTGTACCCATGTGGGGAATCGAACCCAGGTCTTCGGCACCTGAGCTTGATAGAGGAGGAAAGCCCAAAGATATGCTTGTCTCAGACATTTACCATTTTGATGAAATTAACCAGTATGGGTATGGTGCTGACAAACTGAAAAAAGTAATGACGACAAAATGTATTTGAATCGATGATCATTGAATCCATCTACAACAAAGGGATGTCACTCTATGTTAAGATAAATTTGGACACTCATGCCTGAAGTTCAGTTCAGAGAAACATGCATCTGTTTCAGAGAAAATGTAGGCATACAGTGAAATTAATGTTTAGCGTAGAATAATCATGGTTTCAATTAATTTCTAAAGGCAATGGAGTGCAAAAGTATTTGCAACATTTTAGCACGACAAAAGTGTTACCAATTGGTGGAATGTTAAAAAATCGCTTGAAAGAATAAATATAATAACCATAAAATAACTATATTCCATTCTGTGTAAAATACAATGACTAGATAGTACTAAAGATCAACTTCAATATTTTTGAGCAGATTCTAGACCATTATCTAGAAAGTGATCTACACCAAGGTTTCAAACTATGCTTCAGCCATCCATGTACACCTGGCCTCAATTCTTTCAACATAATCCGCTGTAAAGTTCTTTCTAATATTTTCCAGGATATTTTGTCACTGCCACCAGTATACAGGGTTTCAGATCAGTTGTCGTTCAACTTGTCCAGAGTGAGTAAATACTATTTAATGCCACATCAATAATCTTGCTGTTATTCAGGGCGATCACAATGTCTTGAAAACCTATCAGTATTGGTACTTTTTTAATAAAGATGTTCTTTCAAACTTTAACAAAATGATAAAAATGACATTACACCATTTCCCTCTTGTGCACTGACTGAGTTTGGTTTTACGCCGCTTTTAGCAATATTCCAGCAACATCACGGCGGGGGACACCAGAAATGGGCTTCACATCCCTCTTGTGCAATCACTGTTATATATATGCTACCAGTAAGAGATACCATCCAGTTCTACTCCACTGTTTTACACTAACACTCATGACTAAACCATAATCATAACTGTCTCCTGGATTCATCCTTCAGAAACATTACACCACCATAAACACATTGTATATCACAACACAAAGGTGGTACAATCTACACAGAACTATCACTACAAGAAAAGAAGGTGATATAACCACCTTCAGTAACATATCCACTTTGTAAATGCCATTCAAAAGATCAAGGACTCTGAGCAGAGAGACACACTGACCTTCCTCCATCTGGATCATCAGGCAGCAACATACTGGCCAGGTACTGCCTCCTCTCGTAGTTCTTCTCCATGTCCACTTGTATAGCTGTCAACAGAGGTTTCATCTCAGTTACATTACCTTAGATGCACAGGTACACGAAATCCTTTCCAAGCTGTTTCTTTGAAGATTAATGCAATACTCCTGCCATATAAGGTAGCCTGGTAATGATGAAGTATGGACCAAACAAACCAGTGGTTGATATTCTGAGCCTATACCAATGCCATCAGGGTTTTGTGACACACAATTTATCACATCATTGAGTTTTTCCACTCGAAACAGCCTCAAGCCAAAGTGAGTATTGTAGACCAATATTAACCAGAACCATGCTGTTAGACAGTGAATTGGGTTTAGCACTGCTCTGAATAGTAGACAGGTCAATTACCACGTCCTCCTTACAACCTTGGGACTGGTCATTTATTAGAGGGCTTGGTTGGTCACCAGAAATGGAACTGTCTCTGACAGTTTGTAACAAAATATGAAGTGCTTTTTCATTTGTCTTTTCGAGGATCAAGAAAACTATGTCCCATGACATAGAGAAAGTCATACACATATAAAACAAAATGTAGGGGAGGGATACTAGTTTTTGACCTGTGACCCACCAGAAAAATCAATGACTGGTCTGCAAGGAATGCAACTCTACAAAAGCCTTGAAGAACCAGCACGGACAGATGTCAGACTTGATCTAAATCTTGTTGCTAGACAAATATGAAATATCATTTAAAACAAACAGGATTGTCACTGACTAATCAGTCTCGAGTTGTGTCTGATAAAAACTGACAGGCACATGAGTACATGAGAGTACTGACTTTTGGTGAAGTTGTACGTGATCTGCTGGTATGGTTTAGGTTTGGGCAGTGAGAAGGGTGTCTCTGTCTCCTGGGGGTCCAGGCCGAGGAACTTGTACTCCACAAACAGCTGCTTGATGTTGTCGCGGGACATCATGGCGCAGTCCTCCTCCAAGGTCAGGTTGGAGATGATGACAGTAACAGTGTTCCCCTGCAACACATCATGTCTGTACTGCAACAGTGTGCATGACTTGTGTTCTAATAATCTAGCATTGAGTTTCATTGAGTATGTTATGTTTATTAGTTTTCGAGTTAGATTGCAATTCATTGGTCCGCTTTTGAGCCAAACAGACTATAGTCACAACCATATGCCGCCGTCATAAACGACATTAACCTTGGTGTACCGCTAAGTATTCTTACGCGAATGCTTGATTATCTTCATATAAATTCACGTACGATTTGCTTCTTTTTTAAAGAGTAATTTTAAGAATGACATATGCCAAAGGCTCGCATAATACAATTTTTATTCCATATATATGATATATATGATACGGAAACAACAAGGTTAATAATCTCTATGTGTTTAAGGTTGGTAAGTCACTGTTCAAGCCATCTATCACGGTATCAATCTATCAAGGTATCTAATGTGGGTAAGTCACTGTTCAAGCCATCTATAACGGTTGTTGATGCAGAAAAAATGTTCACTCCAATTAGTTTATAATTTCATACACTAAAGATATTTGTTGTCAAAAGGTTATATTTTTATGTTGCAAAGTACAAAGTTCTAAAATAGTGTAGTAATTTTCATTGTAAAATTTAGTTCAGATGAGGTTCAGAAAGTCTAGCTTGGCTATAACTGTTTTTAGTTTTCCAAAAAGTATTATCATGATTGTCATAACAGATTACTTCCCCTTATTGTGAGTGTTGCTCCTCATCAGAGCACATGGCTTGTCACTGCCTCCATGTTGGAGACATTCAGCTGTTGTAGTTGGCATGAACACAAATGTGAGTAGCATTGTTTGCTATTGTAATATATTTCAAGGCATAATAAGGTAATATTATTTGAAGGTTTTGTTAATTGTACATTTTATTCATTTATCTTGTAACTGTTAATTTGAAGTAATTTACTTAGACTTGTCATGTAGTTTGAGTGTTAGGAATAATTGAGTGTTAGGAATAATTTACTTAGCAAGTCTGTATTTCTGCTTTGTAGTTTTCTGAACCTCACCAAGCCAAAGAAAGAAGTCAAAGTGAAATTGAACGTATACCAGAATAAATTATTGGTGCGAGTAAAGAATTTTTGTGTCTTGCATCCACATCAGTTCAGAATTTTTTCTACCATTGCCATATGATGTTGGAGCTGAAGAACGTTGACCATCAGAACTTTAATGCCAAATAACGTCAGTAGTGTTACCCTAATTGGACTTAGTGAATATTTGTAAACATTTGTTGCCTGCATAATGACCATCATAGTATAGTGTAACGTGTAATGTGCTATGATGGCAACGGCAGGGGATGATGTGTTTTATCTGCAGGAAGAACAATCTAATTTGACATTGAATGAACAATCTGATAATGTGGAACACAGAGTGCAAACTGTAGAGACTTCTGGTGAAGGTATATCTCCAGTTGACCAGTTCGAGGCTAACCACACTAATGCTAAGTCTGTCAGAGAGTCAGGAAGAGTTAAAACTTTGACTGAGAAAGGGAAAGTTGAAAGGTTACAATGGTCAAAGAATCGACAAATTGCAGCGCTTTCAGCCATAACGAAGAAGAGAAATGAACTTTCCAGATTAATGTTGAACAGTGGTAGTGACAATTTACATTCAGTGAAGTTTTGTTTTGTGGAGTTGATTGATTTGTGTAAACAGTATCACACTTACTTTGCTTCCTATTATGAGCAGCTTGATTCTGAGGCAGATAGAGATTGTGAGAGAAAACGTTATGAAGAAAAGGATATTTCTATTTCTAGCTTTAGAAAGGTAGTTGAAGGTTGGATTTCAAATGAGAGACTATTGTTAGATAAGTGTGATAATCTGTCAAATAGGGGTTCCCAAGCTTCAGGAAAAACTACAAGTTCAACGAGATCGGCTCTAGCTAAGGAAAAGGCAAAATTGGCTGAACTTCTTGCAGAAAAAGACATGTTGGAGGAAACACGTAAAATGAAGGAGCTTCAGTTGAACATAGAAATAGCTAAGACTAGGGCAAGAGAGAAGGTTTATGCTGATATAGACTTGGAGCTTCAGGGTGATTCTAACCTCAATGTCCCCAGTCAGGGTGTAGGTGCTGTTAAACACGAAGTTAAACATGAAGAACCTCAGACAGAATACAAGCCTCAAGGTCTGAACCCAAATGCAAGTTATTTTACTCCTTCAACACAAGTTCACCCACCTTTGACTATGAATACTATGCATTCATCTGTTCAGCAAACATTGCAGCCTACTCAGAATGATGTGCTACTGCAAACCCACAGACAGATGACAACTGCCATGTTTCTTCCACAACCTGAAGTACCCAAGTTTAGGGGTGACCCAACAGCATACAGCTCATTCATGATGTCATTTGATGCTAGGATAGTTCCTCACACCACAAACAGTATAGACAGGTTGTACTACCTGGACCAGCAGCTGGAGGGGGAACCAAAGGAGTTGATAGCTGGATGTTTGTACATGGCACCAGTGGAGGGATACATGAAGGCTCGGGAGTTGCTTGCTGGAGAATACGGGGATCCATACAAGGTTTCTGCAAGAGAGTCTGACGTCAATCAGGTACTTTCATGGCCAGATATTAGGCAAGAAGATAGTCAGAAGTTGAAACAATTCTCATTCTTTCTCACCAAATGTTCACATGCTATGAACAATATATCTCATATGACCGTCCTGAACCATGCACCCAACTTGCAGGCTATAGTACAGAAGTTGCCTCAATACCTCCAGAACAAGTGGCGAGATCACATTACTAAGTGTAGGATCCAGAACAACAGGATGATTGGATTTAAAGATCTCGTGGAGTTCATAGACTTTGCAGCCAAATCAGCGAATGAGCCCATTTTCAGTAAAGAAGCAATGAGTAAAACAGAAAGTAATCGTGGACATACTCCTAGCAGAGGATTTAGGAAGGACAAGCTGATTGCTAGCAAACCAAGGTCTAGCACTTTCAAACAAATGTCGGACAGAACTACACTGATCACAAGAAGAAAGTATCCTGTCACTTCTGTTGGAAAGCACATGACATCGATGACTGTGAAGCCTTCAAGCAAAAGACACTGAGCGAGAAACGCGTACTTACTTGAGAGAAGAAGCACATGTGTTATGGATGCTACGGATACAACCACGCTGTCAAAGGATGTCTAAGAAAGAGAATATGTAGGAAGTGTGGAAAACGTCATCCAACAGCACTACATGACGATAACTTTCAAATGAGACACAGCAGTCAACATTCAACAGACACCAAGTATCAAACAGAAGGCAACGGCAACCAAAAGGATTTAACAGAAACAGTGTCATCTTCTTGTAACAGTACCAAGTCTGACTCGGTGGAAACTGTGCTACAGTCGATTCTACCTGTCATCGTGACATGCGCCAGCAAGGTAACAGTAAAGCGGTGAAGACTTATGCACTCTTAGACAATGGGAGTACTGGTTGCTTCATCACCGAGACACTCAAAGATCAACTTGGCGCATCAACAACTACGACAACTCTGAAATTACAGACTATGCATGGTGTAGATATGGTAGAAACCTCAGCTGTAACTGGCCTCACTGTAACTGACAATCAGGACAATCATCCAGTCTATCTTCCTAGGACATTTGTAAAGGAAATACCAGTTAATCATAACCAGATTCCTGATCCAAAGTTTCTCGGCGATTCTCTGATCTTGAAGATATGGCAAGTAAATTACCTGAATTTTACCCGAACTTGAAGTTGGTCTCCTAATTGGAAGTAACTGTCCTTCAGCCTTACAGCCTCAAAAGGTGATTCCATCAGATGGGGATGGTCCGTTCGCAGTGTTGTATAAGCATGGCTGGACGATTAACGGGCCTCTACATGTGAAGTTTAATAGTGAGAGAAACACTCTTGTCTGCAACAGAGTCATCCTTTGCGAAAAGAGTTCTGTGAAGGAATGTCTAGCTCCGGGAGTACTATCGTTAGGATCTTGAACGAGACTTCAGTGAGCAGGATCTCGGCAAAGTACCAGGGGAGAAGGGCTATTCAAGAGAAGATAGGAAATTTATGGAGACAGCAGAGGAACAGGTGAAATATGTCAATGGTCACTATGAGCTTCCATTACCATTCAGAGATGATACATTATGTGCAAACAACAGGACTCAAGCACAGAGCAGAGCGAAATGGCAAAGAAAGAAAATGCTCCAGAATGAACAGTACTACAAGGATTATGTAGGTTTTGTTGATAATCTCCTTGAAAAGGGCTTGGCATTACAAGATACCTGAAGGTCAACTGTCAGCTGAATCACAGAGAATTTGGTATCTTCCGCACCATGGAATCTATCACCCCAAAAAGCCAACAAAGATCCGTGTGGTTTTCGACTGCAGCGCCAAGTATGAAGGAACATCATTGAACAACAGGCTTCTGCAAGGTCCAGACCTCACAAACTCTTTGATAGGTGTTTTGACAAGATTCAGAGCTGAACGGATAGCATTCATGGCAGACATAGAGTCCATGTTTTACCAGGTGAAGGTGCCAGTGACTCAACATGACAGCCTAAGATTTTTGTGGTGGCCCAACGGTGATCTCAACGCTGACTTACAGGAATATAGAATGGGTGTACATATCTTTGGAGCAGTCTCCTCTCCCAGCATATCCAACTTTGCATTGAAAGCCACAGCCAACAGGGCAGAAGAAAGGTTTGGCAGTCTAAGTAGCTGATGTAATCAGAAAGAACTTTTACGTTGATGACTGTTTAAAATCTGTAGAAAATGACAAGACAGCTATAAAGCTAATCTATGGCGTGAGAGCCGCATGCGCAGATGGGGTTTCAAATTAACCAAATTCACTTCAAATAGCAGAAGCGTTTTGAAGTCAATCCCAGTTGGTGATCATTCCAAAGAGATTCAAACCCGTGACCTGGATTATGATGAACTGCCAATTGAACGTGCTCTTGGGATGAAATGGTATGTAAATACAGACACATTTGGATTTTCCACCGACTTCATTGAGAAACCAGTCACACGTCGTGGTCTACTATCCACGGTTTCATCTCTGTATGATCCCCTTGGTATCGTTACACCTATCATTCTTCCGCTAAGCCGGATACTTCAAGAATTGTGTGCCAACAATGATCTGGACTGGGATGATGATATACCAGGAAAGTATGAAGTCTCATGGAAAAAGTGGTTGAAGGAGCTCAAGATACTTGAAACTCTGAAGATTGAACGATGCCTGAAGCCTGCTGAGTTCGGTAAAGTTGTATCTAAACAGGTTCATGTGTTCTCTGATGCCAGCTTTCGGTAGAATGCGGCTGTGTAGCTTATCTTGGCTTTCTGATGCTGAGCAAAATGTCCATGTTGCTTTTCTAATGGGGAAATCAAGACTGACTCCTGTGAAACCTGTGAGTATTCCACGTCTCGAGTTGGCGGCCGCTACAGTCGCAGTTCAAATAGCTCAACTTATGCTGAAAGAACTTGATACAGATATTGATAAGCGTGACCTACTTCACAGACTCAACGACTGTCCTCCATTATATCAACAGTGAGAAGAAGAGATGCCCAGTATTTGTTGCTAATCGTGTGAGAGATTGATAAGGGACTACTCTGGGCCAAAAGATTGGAAGTATGTAGAATCTGATGAGAACCCAGCGGATATAGCATCCAGAGGAGCTAGCACAGCACAACTACTGGCTTAATCAGACTGGTTTGAAGGACCACAATTCCTCAGGAGATCTGAATCAGAATGGAATCTGAAGCAACCCGGACCGGCAGAATCTGTTGTAGAGGAAACAGTTGCAACTTCACGCAGTGTATCACCAACCAAGATGCAATGTGAAGGGCTTGACACTTTGATTAAACATTATTCAAGTTGGTATCGTCTTAAAGCGGCGTAGTCATATATCTCCAACTCATCAACAACATCAAAGCTGCATTATCAGGAAAAGAAAAGGTAAAGTTGAATCGGGGTATATAACAATAAACCGCTTTTCACAGTTGAGAAACTTGAATGTGCAGAGAATATCATCATGAAGTTTGTGCAGTCCAAGAGTTTTAGACAAGGAAATCCATGTACTTACAGCAGTTGAGCGAGGCCGAGTACGAAGCACAGCTTCGGTCTACAAGCTGGATCCATTCATCAACAATGGGATTCTCAAAGTAGGTGGCAGACTCAGCAAGTCTCAGATCCCAGATGAAATGAAGCACCAGATTCTTCTACCAGCAAACATCATGTCACAAGCCTGATCATACAAGACATACACAAGAAGCTTGGCCATGTGGGGCCGAAATCATGTACTTTGAAGCTCACGAGAAAAGTATTGGGTCATCAGAAGCTGAAGCATTACCGTGAAACATACTGTCCCATTGTGTCACCTGTCGAAGACTGAAAATGCCTCCATGTGAACTGAAGATGTCCGACCTACCATTCAGCAGAGAGTGAATCCAGCCGCGCATTTACATACTCAGGTGTAGATTTCTTTGGCCCGCATACCATCAAAGAAGGTAGGAAACAGATGAAGCGCTATGGAGCACTGTTCACATGTTTAGCGGTAGAGCCATACACATCGAAGCGGCCAACTCTTTGGACACAGACTCATTCATACATGCCTTGCGCGTCCGCTTTATAGCAATTACCATCGTGGACCTGTCAAAGAAATATGGTGTGACAATGGCACCAACTTCATTGGAGCTGCCAGAGAATTGAAAGAAGCACTAGCAGAACTTGATCAAAACAGCATCCACTCTCACCTACTGCAAAGCCAACATCGACTGGAAGTTTAACCGCCATCAGCCAGTCACATGGAAGCGAATTGTTGGCACGCATGATAGGTTCTGTGCGAAGATTCTATCTCCCATGCTGTATGAGTTCGGGGACCGTTTGGATGTGAAGCATACCGTACACCTGCTATCTTGAGTAGAAGCCATCGTCAACTCCGTCCACTCACCACAGTTTCCAGTGACGCCACTGACCTGAACCCCTAACGCCAAACCATTTGCTCATGATAAAATCCAACGTTTTCATCGGCTCCACAAGGTAAATTTCAATGTGATGATGTCTACATCGTCCGGAGATGGAGAAGGATTCAGTATCTACAAATGTATTTTTGGACAAGGTGGAGGAAAGAATACCTGTATTCCCTACAAGAGAGACAAAAATGGAGTACACCAAAACGCAACATTGAAATAGATGACATTGTACTCATCAAGGATGAAAATGCACACAGATCATGCTGGCCCATGGGACGAGTGATCAAAGTTGAGCCAGACAAACAGGGCTTTGTGAGAAGTGTGATACTGAAAACTCAAAGTACAGAACTGCGCAGACCTGTACACAAACTAGTACTATTACTTCCAAAGACGAGTGAAAGATATGCTGATGAGTGAAATTTTGTGAAAATTGACATTGTGTATGAATATATGGCCAAAGTTATGGGCTGTATGGATCATTGTTTCTGCATTGTGAGAAGTTTGTTAAACAATGTTGTTTAAGAGGCCGAGTGTGTTGATGCAGAAAAAATGTTCACTCCAATTAGTTTATAATTTCATGCACTAAAGATATTTGTTGTCAAAAGGTTATATTTTTATGTTGCAAAGTACAAAGTTCTAAAATAGTGTAGTAATTTTCATTGTAAAATTTAGTTCAGATGAGGTTCAGAAAGTCTAGCTTGGCTATAACTGTTATTAGTTTTCCAAAAAGTATTATCATGATTGTCATAACAGATTACTTCCCCTTATTGTGAGTGTTGCTCTTCATCAGAGCACATGGCTTGTCACTGCCTCCATGTTGGAGACATTCAGCTGTTGTAGTTGGCATGAACACAAATGTGAGTAGCATTGTTTGCTATTGTAATATATTTCAAGGCATAATAAGGTAATATTATTTGAAGGTTTTGTTAATTGTACATTTTATTCATTTATCTTGTAACTGTTAATTTGAAGTAATTTACTTAGACTTGTCATGTAGTTTGAGTGTTAGGAATAATTGAGTGTTAGGAATAATTTACTTAGCAAGTCTGTATTTCTGCATTGTAGTTTTCTGAACCTCACCAAGCCAAAGAAAGAAGTCAAAGTGAAATTGAACGTATACCAGAATAAATTATTGGTGCGAGTAAAGAATTTTTGTGTCTTGCATCCACAACGGTATCAATCTATCAAGGTATCTAATGTGGGTAAGTCACTGTTCAAGCCATCCATCACGGTATCAATCTATCAAGGTATCTAAGGTGGGTAAGTCACTGTTCAAGCCATCCATCATGGTATCAATCTATCAAGGTATCTAAGGTTGGTAAGTCACTGTTCAAGCCATCTATCACGGTATCAATCTATCAAGGTATCTAAGGTTGGTAAGTCACTGTTCCAGCCATCTATCACGGTATCAATCTATCAAGGTATCTAAGGTGGGTAAGTCATTATTCAAGCCATCTAGCATGGTATCAATCTATCAAGGTATCTAATGTGGGTAAGTCACTGTTCAAGCCATCTATAACGGTATCAATACAGAGATGCCAACCCCAATGTGTTGCAAATAGTAGTTTCAAGGATCAAAATTAGTAGTTTGACCATAAAATTAGTAGTCAACTAAATACTCAAAATCATGATGGATTCTGGGAAAGATAATATGACACTAATCAAGAGTGAAGCTTTAATTTCAAATACCTCCAATAACAGATTTCCAAATTATCAGCATTACATTTCTTCTTGTCGTCTCTTTTTGGCGAAAATGTACTTAATCGACAAAAATATATGTGCAATCTTATTGGCGTAGTTTGAGGCTAAAATTTGTAGCGACTACAATAAGATCATAGAGGTTGGCATCTCTGTCAATGGTAGGGTACTCACTCTTCAAACAGTCTATCATGGTTTCAATATGGTACTCACTGTTCAAGCTGTATCATGGTTTCAATATGATACTCACTGTTCAAGCTGTCTATCATGGTTTCAATATGGTGTCACAGTATCAATGGTAGGGTACTTACTGGCTTGGAGGCTCTGATTTTCCTCTTGGATGGCAGTGACTTCATCATCACAAGCCCTTCACTGTCTGACTCTATCTTTATTGGCTCGGACTCGGACTCCGACACCTTCTCTGATGGTGGCGAGGAGTGTACCTCGGGCTGTGTTTCTGTCAGTGTGTTGCCCTGACTCTCCAGTTCTTCCGTGATCTCTTCATCAATTGAACCTGTCGACACATATTTCCAATGCAGGAGTGTTTACAATGGTCAAGGAAATTCTTTTGGCCAAGAACATGAGTAATTAGAAGCAGACGTGACACAGAAAGAAAAAATGGAGAAGACGTGACAGTTGCAGGCAAGCAAAGACAAAACTTACTCTGTATTAATGAGTCCGATGGTTTTAATGCCATGTGGAATCAACACTGTTCCCATTATATAACAGCATGTCAGCTGAATGTGGGAGGACAGACCAAAGTGACAGGTGCTTAAAATGTTTACCAAATTTAAAAAAAATAAATAAAATGTTCGAGCAGAGGCATGGGGCATTAATAATAATTTATATTGCGTCTAACTCCACACTAGGTATGCTCACAGTGCTTACAATCAATAACACCGCACATTATTACCCCAGATAATCCAAGCTGCCTGTTAGGCGCTAGAAGGTTATAGTCACATGACTTTATCCAATGGGTACCCACTTTCCTGCTGGGTGAACAGAGGCAATTTTGAACAAACTCACTTGCCTAAGGTGAGACCACATGCATCACATGTGCTTCGTTGTGGGGCAGGACTGAAGTCCTAGAATCTCTTAGGAGTCAACACAGTCACCCATCCAAGGACTCTCTGAGCTCGACATGCTTAACATCACCGATCTGTGACCTGAGATTTGTGCACAGGACCACACGCCAACACATTCATACCACATTATCGAGTTACCCGGGAATAAAAAAACCCATTATAATTTTTCTAGTGTATCCAAATCCAAGGGACACAACTGCAGTGCCTCAGACAAATGGTCAACTTATTCACCCATATTGATAAAAGTGACCAAAATGTAGTAAGTGAGTGAGTGAGTTAAAGTTTATAGTCACAGCGGCAGTATTTCAGCCATATCGTGACTTAAGACAGTTAAGTTCATGACAAATGTGCAATTTTAAAAATCTGTCAACGAAGGACAGTAAAACCAACTAGTATATCACAGTAATAGGAAATGAAACTAGCGTATATCTCTAAAATAGGAATTCAAATTAGGACAATACAATATAAAATAAGGCTGAGGATCGCCAACAACTGAAGGTAGATCACCACTCTAGGGACCATGGGGACTTAAAGTACTTTGGCTACCTGCATGGACCCTAGCTGGATTTATACCATCCCTTCAGCCACTGGCGACTGTACTGATATTTAGCCATAATAAAACAAATATTCTATGATTAAACTGACTTGGGAAGTTTTGGGACTTACATACCCTCTCAGTAGGACCAAAATGTAGCAGTATCTTACCTCAAAATATCCTACCAGCATGTGACATCTACAGATGCCAAATGGATGGTAGACATGAGGACATGAGGAAGGTCACAAGGGAATTACTTTTCCACACACAACTTATTTGCAGAAAAATCATGTGATGCCAAAACTTACCACCATAATAAACATAAATTGCTCAGGGAATTTCATACACGTTCAGCCAGTCTAAACTGAGTCCGTCTTCTAAACTTACATATTTTCCAAAAGTATCACGTCGAACATCCACAGATATGAAACCATGAAACCATCTTATAGGTATGAGATATGAGTAGTAAGCAGATGACTTCACTCATGACCTTAGTGCTGTGATATTCCTGCTCAAGTATGATCTTGAGAATACACAAAATATGCATCAATTTGATGGCAAAATGGTGCAACATTAGGGTATGTCAGAAACATTTTAGAACTCATGCATGTCAGATACCTTTTACCTTACTTACAACTCACTTTAAAACCTAGCTAATGATTATTCACACATTACATGCATTTTGAAACTGCTAGTCATAAGATAAATGATACTTAATGGCTACCCGTCTCATAATCTCTGCTTGCAGTTGGCTTTCCTCTGTAACTTAGCATAAGGTGCCTGATTTGCTTCAGAGAGAATATCGTATACAAATGTACAAATCATCCCAGAATCTATAACTATCATTAGGGCACTAATCAACCTTACTGACCTTCATCTTCAAACATTGTGTCATCCATTGGCTTTGGCGAAGGCTGAAAACACAGACTCTGGCAGTGAGAAATCTAAATACAATCAACAGTGAATAACTATTTTATGACATAATGATATATCTCCTTTCTTTTATGACAAATACTCTGGACACATTAACACCAATGCCTCTTTTCAGAAGAGGAGTTTGGTTTGGGTTGTTTAACGCTGCACTCAGCAATATTCAACCTATATGATGTGTCAACCAAGTCAGAGCCTGACCACAAGATCCCGTTAGTCGCCTCTAATGATAAGCATAGGTTGCTGAAGACCAATCTCAATCCAGATCTTCACAGGTTAGAAGAGGAGTAACAATTCCCACATCATCTACCACAAACTGAGAACAGGATTTGTCTTGCTCACGAAACTCCAAACAACAGCTGAAACAGTGTTTGGCCTCATACAAGAAGGACCCTGATATATGGACTGTCATAAATAGACTGTCAGCTGGAAGGGATGTACTAAGGAACTAAGATGTTGGACTGTGTTTGAGGATAAAGTCAGATTGTGTGCTGGTGAGAAAACTACTTGGTCAAATATCATGAAAGGACAGTACAGTTAGATTGGCATCTATCTTTAGCATTGTTTCATTCCAGTTGATTTCAAAATGAGTGAGTGAGTTAAATTTTATGCCGCAGTCAGCAATATTCCAGCTATATGGCGGCGGTCTGTAAATAATCAAGTCTGGACCAGGCAATCCAGTGATCAACAGCATGAGCATCGATCTGCGCAATTGCGAATCGATGACATGTGTCAACCAAGTCAGCAAGCCTGACCACCCGATCCTGTTAGTCGCCGATTTCAAAATGATGACAAATGAAAATATACAAAACATATTGGAGATAACAAATGAGACAATTCTGGCATATCTACATCTGAAATCCTTAGAGCTAAAATCAAATTAACTGTGATATGAAAATACATGCTGAAGCTATATTTCTATGGTAAAATCCCTGTCCAACGGCATTCATTAAAAAATAACAGTCAAGTTATGTCATGATGGGGACACCAGATATAGGATCACAATACCATAGAAACAAACTCAGAAGTTTGGCATTATGAGCCAATGGCTTCACCACTGGGTTATCCTCATTAGTCAAAGTCAAAGATGCATATTGTATATTGTATCATTAAGAACTCTTATCTAACCTTAGCAAGCTTATTGACAAGAGGCAGCACAAGGAAATAAAAGTGCATACCTTAGGAGTTACCTCTCCAGCTTTGGAATCTGAAAGAAACCAAATAGTTTGTAGCGACAGTCATCCTCAAGATATTAAACACAATATCACTATTGTAGTGTTTTGCACACTGTAGGGTGTGGATTTAAGTCCTATTGAATATGTTCATTACTGTTATTATAAATAAATATCAATTCTTTTAAATATCAGCGCTTAAAAAGAGCTTTCATTTATTACAGATATCAATTGCCATTTACTTTAGTATGTTACCATATATCAGTTCAATTAATATGTTTCAGAAACGGTGTTTGTTCACACCAACAACATATTATCTATTTTACATTTTAAAACTTAACATTCCTTTATTTAACTCAATTTCATTACACCGATCTCCATCTGCAAAGAAAGGTTCACAAAACTGAAGACACCAGAGTACCGTAATGTTATTGTTCTAGTGCCGACATCTTGTGTTATAATCTTCTCATTAGTACAGTTAGTGAACAGCTACTCAAAGCAAACAGTCAATATATATACAAAAGGTGATTGAATACAAGAGCGTTGTCATATGTACGGTTAGTGATGTTACCAGAGACAATATTCATACAATACATGAAGCTATACACTGATTGTTGTAGACAGTCAACACAGCAGTGTTAGTGGTAAGCTAATGCCACGTTGTGTAGGGTGTTCCTATATCACCAGCAGCTGGGCATCCCCTGTTCTCTTCCCACAGAGGTTATTTGTCATATCTTCCGACGAACCTCTGTTCTAATACGCCATATTTCCTGTTTTTTGTAAAATCCCCTAGCCGCAAAAAAATCGCAACACAAATTATCTCCCTTCTTTCTATCCATCAGAACACGTTTTACATCGACTTAGATCCAACTTGACTAATGCAGGCAAATATGGGGCCACAAATATCCTTCCTCTGCCGGGGACTTGTGTTGATGTGACACATAAGACATTTAATGGCTAGCTTGTCTGTTGTCAACGAGAGGCAATGGAGACGCCATTGATCAGCCATTTCATGACTGAGTTCTGTCTAGAAGAAATGTTTGCGCATCGCGCATGGGAGGAGGTTCTAGTTTTCTCGAAGCATACGGAAATTACTGAGGCTTTGCAAATGATCACTATTGAAATAGCGTCGCTGATTGCACAACTAAATCTGATTGCAACCAATCACGAATCCTGAACGCTCGCACCATGAAAGGGCCGTATTAGAACAGAGGTATATACAGAGAAGATATGACAAGTGCCTCTGTGGGAAGAGAATGGGCATCCCTTGACCAGACAGGAGACATACATATATTGGATGATGATGGATGAAGTGAGCTTGATGATGTGTATTAGGAACAGATGTTTAATTTTATTGACGAAAACAAAATCATTAACGAAGGAAACAACCTCATCTGGAAAGATATTGAACCATGGGGTTGCAACTTGTCCTGCAACATTTCAAAGCAGTCTGTGACCAGCCACTTGTTCAAAGCCTGAGTGTAGTCAATTTCTGCTTGAAGTAGTAAGTTCAGTACTGGTAAATAGACGTTGACATATTAACACTTGTATGTGGTGATTATTATGCTAAGAGCCAAGTTCAGATCAGCAGTGTCAAATGTATTTGGCACATACTAGTATTCTGAAAAGTTCTGAACACATATTTGTTTCTTGTCTAAAGTCAGGCTCAGTAATATTTATGCACTATGATGTTGACCTATTGACCTATTCTGCACCCAGTGTCAGATTGATATTGTAAGCATGATCCAGTGCCTAGTTCAGCCTGCACGACACACTGTCTGCTTGCCAGCACTTCTCCTTGACATTATTTCATTTTTTTTTGTGTTATTATATGGGCAAAACTAGCAGAGCTTCCTAAACCTAACAGAAATTTATTAGACACAGGTCTCCTACAAGTGTCTCAGTTAACAGTCTTGCCCAACAACAAAGCACATGTGATACACGTGGTCTCACCTTAGGCCAGTGAGTTTGTTCAAACTTGCTTCTGTTCACCCAGCAGAAAATGGGTACCCGGTGGGATAAGCCATGTCACTATTAACCATCTAGTGCATCACAGGCAGCTTGGATTATCCGGGATAATAATTATCAGATTGTAGTGCTTTGTGTGTGCCCCTCCGTGGTGCGGAATTCAGCGCATAACAAATGCCCTTATTATAATATGGGCAATAATTAGCTGAGCTCACTAAAATGAACAGAAATTTACTAGACACAGGCTTACTACAAGTGGCTTAGCTGACAGATTGCAAGTTGCATCAAAGACCATGACCGAAACACCAAAGCTACAAAATGAATATTTGATTACTATAACAAAGTACATATATTTCAACACATCCCCTTCACCACAATATCTGCAATGTCTGTTAGCCGTATCCTTGAAGCTATGGCTGTACGGGGTTATTGCCAGCTGAGATCTATTACACATACCAACTTCCCAATGAATAAACACATATATAGTGTATAACAGGTACAAAGCTGTTTATACAAGCACTGAACATGCAGTATTAACTTGCACATAACAGTTAACACACTTAACTTATACATGTTAACATCATTTCATGCCATTCTTTGTTTATCAAAACAAAAAATCCTGAGATTTTGAAAAGAGTCATTGTAACAAAACTATTTGCAGTCAATTGTTTTCACTTTTACTGATGTTAGAGTTGACAGTGGTTTGAATCAAACATGCTTCAAACCATGTTGAACTGTTTTGTTCAATAGAACGCTTGCAATTACTGTATATTTATTTTTTGAGGACCCCCAAAAGCAGTCTGAAGAAGGGGTTGGCTTTTCTACAGGATACACTTATACACTTTTGTGAAACCTTTTCCGATGTCTGATCATGACGAAAAAATGAGCTTAAGATTGGGGACCCTTACCCTACGGAGCTCACCTGGAAACTTGACCATGTGCATGTCAACAAATGCAGCCAATTCAGATAGTTTTGTCAGCACAAACATATTAATAACAAGGTCCTTATGACATTTTATATACAGAATAATCTGCTGTCCATGCAACACTGACCATCACTTGGCATTCATAAATATTTGGCTATTCTAATGCTTTTGGTTGAAACTTAAAGTACTAGTTTGACATCAAAATACAGTAGTTTAAGTAAAAAGACAGATACATTTAGCTTCATATCTGTGTAACTGTAAAAATATCTGGTGAGCAATTTGAAAGGATTTGTGTTGTCAAACATGATAGATGAAATATTGACATAGCAACCACTTTAATAAATTTTTATATGACCAGTCTGAAATAGACAAAATTCCTGCTTGACAATGATACAAGAATCTGTATCAAACCATCGCACTCTCGTAATAAAGAAGTTGTTATCCATAAATTTGTCTGTTTTGTACTTCCCAGCTTCTGAAATGCCACTGAATGAAGTGACCAGTCTGAATTGCAGATTCTTGACATGCATTCCATGACACAAGATCATCTACCCAGGTGAGATAAAATTGGAGGTTCCTGAATTTTAGAAAAGACTACGCCATATATTGAAATCTAAACCAATCAATAAACAATGATGGCAATGAACATGATGAAATATGTACACAGCTGATGCTCTGAGGCTTGATTTTCAGCTGATTGACAGCTGATTGACGATGTCAGTTACATTATGTAGGACATCCAGGTGCTAGCGCAGCACATGAAGTGTTATTCATGCCCACGTTTATAACATATTGACTACAGGTGGGCCTGCGTGCACATGCTTCCTACCACTTCGGGATAATTGTGTCCGTGCCTTGGGTCTGGGGACGGGCTTTCGCTTGCCTAAAACAGGAGTTTACACTGACGTCATCAGAGACAAATAGCTTATTGATATGGAGGTGATTTCTCCCCTTTATCCCTCTTTCTTTCATCAATACAGATCAATGCATGATGCTGATTTTAGAGGAATTAGTTCGTGAGATCCACAGGCAATTCACAGAATCATTCATGGCAATTTGCCATGGTAACACTCACAAATACAGATATCACAGAGACTTGAATTTGTATGATATAAAAATTCATCGATAACGAGCTTGACACAAAACAGTTGCCTTTTATCAAAGAAGTACTAGTCACAAACTAATTCCTGAGTTAACCTTATAGAAGGCTCATATCCTCCGATTGATCTAGTCCCTGGATGTTAATAAAAGAAGCCCGAGACAGAGAAAATGAACTCACTTCTCAACAATTTGAGGCCAGAGCTTTAACTTGCTTTTGAATATTTCTAATTTTGGCCCAAAAATTCAGTTCTGCAGGTCAGAAAAAATACAACTTTTTCTTTTCTAATTTACTCTTGCAACTTTGTCATAGACTGCCCTGTTTAGAGCTTGAATATTAATAAAGTTGAAATTATATATTTTCTTATGCACATTTTATAATTCATAGTTATTGGTATTGGTATTGGTATGAAACCCTTATTTTCTAAATAGTATTTTCACATTTCATGTGGGAATTGGCAGATTGATACACAAATATTTAAAAAAAGTCGTACCTGAGGTAAATTTTACAAAAGTGACAACACCAAGAATGAGTGGATGAGTGAGTGAGTGAGTATGGTTTTATGCCGCTTTTAGCATTATTCCAGCAACATCACGGCAGGGGGACACCAGAAATGGGGCTTCACACATTGTACCCATGTGGGAATCACATCAAGAATGAAGATATGATGCTCAACATAATCTGACTTGAACCATCAGATATCAATAGTTGTGTGTAGATGATATCTTTGAAATAATATACTGCAGTGCAAATGATAAGTGAATATGATATATTTATGTCATTGTCAAGAAAGAGAAGAAATAATCTGAAAAATAAAATAGAAAAGAAAAAATTCATGACTCAGCATGAATATAACTACCCCCCATTCTTCTTCAAAAGCAATGGAGGAAGAACAAAACTAAAGTGATATATATAAGGTACAAATCAGATAAACATTAAAAATGTTGTGAATGAGTAGGGTACTCAACTACTTGATGGATGTAGGATTAACGCTTATTTCAAATGAAAAATATTGGACCCAATAACAATATTGCTGAACTGGTCATATTGGTATACCTGACATCGCCTAATAAAAATTTCAGGGTTAGAAATATAATTTTCAAAACCATGTGGCAACATAAAAATGTCAACAGTTGAGTTTATCTGGTGCCAGAGCAGAAATTTGTTGTGCTCTGTTTTCAGGAATCAACACAAATTCAAAGATGGAAATATTCCAATTAATTTCGAAACCTGAACCAAAGTCAGCCAGTCAGCTTCAGCTTTGCAAAAAATAATGCATTGAGAAGTTATGCAAAATGGGAAACAATTTATTTAATTCAATCATTCTAAAAACTGCAAAAGAATGACAGATGAAAAATAACTAAGGTATAAAAATTCTGTTAATAAGATGTGAAAACTGATTACATTTGATCAAACATGTTTCCCATTTTGATAGCATCTTCTCTGTACACAGTACCTATATCAAACTAAACCAGATGAAACTACAATGAACACTGAAATCTGAGAGAACCTGAAATAAAACTCTGTAATGGTGAATGTAAGGACAAAGACCTAGGGAACTATAGGTCGAGTGCAGAGTGTGAAACCTCAGTAATCCATGTATTACCTTCATTCTATCATGATAGATACCTGGCCCCATTCATTACCATAGCTACATACTGAGTTTAATTTGAAAGGCAACTAAAACAACCATCCTGTTAAAACCTCTCTTAGGCCTAAATTTTTTGTTGTTGTGGTTCCGATTACCAGACCGACCCTTGAATTCTGGTGCTGACCCTATTTTTTTAAGCGATATCAATAAAATAAGCTATCAGATGCCATTGTTTTTTCCCAGCACCCAGAGACATCGGTCATTCTGATAGAGAAAGTCAACATGATGACCGAAAGGTTGATTGAATAAACAATTACACTTTGATAAATGTGTTATTAGTTTTGTACTTAACTTCTAAAAATGTAAAAAAAAATGTAAAAAATCCTACCTACCTACCTACCCTAAAGAAAGAGTGTAATCGGAACCACAACATTTTTTTATTTGTCCTTATTAGCTGGATGCATTTTGTACTAAGATGGATATTGGGAAGATACTTCGGTAAAACGCTTTAGTTGCAAATGGGTCCAGGATAATAATCAATGTGGATAATAATCAATGTAGAATGATGATAATACCCTGGATAGTCGAGGGTGGAGTACGGGCTGAGCGTGCAGATAACTATGAGACTTCTGCTAACTCAAGCGGGGGACGTAAGCAGCTACAGTTGGTTACCTTCCTCCGACCCCGATTCAATCATCATGTGACGATTACGGGGGAAGGGGGAGGGTTTCGGCTGAAGCTCCTCCCCCTCGGTGTCATCCTCTGTGGTCACATGACCTCCACGATGATCCTGTGAGTCTAGGGGGACTATAAGACGTGAAGGGACGTAACTTTAGAGCTTATTAGTTATACAAAATATCATCATTGATAACATCTAGTATCCCATATCAAGTGAATGTTAAGCATTAAAAGCATCACAGCACAGCAACGTCTTTGAAGGTATCACTAGGATTTAAGAATTCAAAGTAATCCCGAAACACAAACATTAGGAACTATATTCATACAGGTTTCACACACAGGGTATCATTTTATCATGCAGATGATACATCCTCAAAAACCAGGTCACGGTGGACATTAACAATGAAACAGTATCCATGGTAATAATTGTATACACAAATTAAGATGAGGAAGTAGATGTGTCTTCAATATGCTTAGAGATGAAAAAAATATTAAAATCATTCTAGTTAGTAATATCAAGTCAATTAGTCTAACTGTGCCTAAATGTGACTAGTCTAAAATTTTGGAAGAGAAAAAATTATACCAAAAATTAGGATTCTGTATACCTTGTATCTTTCAAGTGTTAATAAAAACTGATTACATTTTCAGGAACCTTTTTCATGATCATTTTACATTTTAGATAACTGAATATATTGGAAACAAAACATAGATTCTGGTCGCAATTTTAAAAAGTGTAGTATCATTTACAAAACAATATTCCAAACAAAAAAAATTGATAACATTAACAGAAATTCTGCATGATGTAGTCAACATGATGCATATTCAGTGTTGGTAGTTTTCTGCTCAGAATATAGAGATTGTAATGGTCTCTTTGGATAATAAAGTACTATTTTTATCTGGTCCTCCCTTTAATGTCACCTTAAGCTGGCAAGGTTTGTACAGATACAAAACAACTTCATTCAAGGACTTTTCAAGATTTCTCATGGTTTCACATGTCATTTTGAAGGCCTTTTTTAACTGGGTTATTAGCCCCTGTCTGTCAATACATACATTAGTTGTAAGACCGAAAATGAAAAATATTTTCACCATAAAAAATACATTAATCATGGTCTTTGGCAGACCAATCTATAAATCACCTCAAACTTTTAATACATATGTTATTTTGTACAAATACAAGGTCTTTCATGCATTTGCTTATTTTCAAGGTTACACTAAAAGAAATATGCTTTTCAAGAGGGACCTTAGGTACCGTTCAAGCCTGTATGAAGTTTGCCTGGTTTCTGAGGATGAAAGGGTATTAACAGATCATGCAACATGCATTTTAGCATTTTGAGATTATTCATTTCCAAAAGAGAATGCAAAGTTCAAATTACACAGAATGCAAGGTCAAATTACACAGCACCTCAAAATGGATGTGCGTTGAGAGACTTGGCGGAGAGAGTTACGACACACAACACCTAACTTACTCTCAAGATCCTCCTCACTGGGGTGCAGGTACCTCAGTGGGTGGCACTTCCTCCTCCTCACCACCTCTAGACTCTACCTCTGTTACCATGGTTACACAGTCTTGTTAGTAATATCATTAAGTATCAACATAGAACTTCACACTTCCCAAATATTCAAATGTTTGTGGACCAAATGCATTTTCTTCAGCATTCAATAACTGGACTCAAGAAGGATGAAATTTATGTAGAGATGTTCTTGACAGCTCATCAATAGATCTTGGAAATCAGATCTTGAGTCGCCCTCACTGATACAAGAATCTGAGGTCATCCATTACTGCATCCACTTCCACAAAGCCGCATCACAGCTCCACAACAATTAATAAACATAAGTATGAGAGTTCACGATCATCGTGGCTTAAGATAAGCTTTGTGCAAGCTGAGCCCTGGTCATATCAGAATGACCTTTTAGCGAACTTTGACTGACCAATGAAATTACTCACAAAAGCAGCTTTCGAGCTTTTACATTTACAGCACTAGTTTCAAAATGGTTTTAGACTCCAGACTAAGCTTTGAATAATATTTTTGACAAAGTTCTTGATTAAAAAATAATTCTAGGCGGTCTAATAGGTTGCCCAGACTGGTACCGCAATACTCTAAGTAATAAAGAAGTTGTTATCCATAAATTCTGTCTGTTTTGTACTTCCCAGCTTCTGAAATGCCACTGAATGGAAGTGACTAGCTCTGAATTGCAGATTCTGACATGCATCCATGACACAAGATCATCTACCCAGGTGAGATAAAAATTGGAGGTTCCTGAATTTTAGAAAAGACTTCTGCCCATATATTGAAATCTAAACCAATCAATAAAACAATGATGGCAATGAACATGATGAAATATGTACACAGCTGATGCTCTGAGGCTTTGGATTTTCAGCTGATTGACAGCTGATTGGACGCCAAGTGTCAGTTACATTATGTAGACATCCAGGTGCTAGCGAAAGCAAGTGAAGTGTTATTCATGCCCACGCTTATAACATCATATTGACTACAGGGTTGTCCTGCGTGCACATGCTTCCTACCACTTCGGGATAATTGTGTCCGTGCCTTGGGTCTGGGGACGGGCTTTCGCTTGCCTAAAACAGGAGTTTACACTGACGTCATGAGAGACAAATAGCTTATTGATATGGAGGTGATTTCTCCCCTTTATCCCTCTTTCTTTCATCAATACAGATCAATGCATGATGCTGATTTTAGAGGAATTAGTTCGTGAGATCCACAGGCAATTCACAGAATCATTCATGGCAATTTGCCATGGTAACACTCACAAATACAGATATCACAGAGACTTGAATTTGTATGATATAAAATTCATCGATAACACAGCTTGACACAAGTACTAGTCACAAACTAATTCCTGAGTTAACCTTATAGAAGGCTCATATCCTCCGATTGATCTAGTCCCTGGATGTTAATAAAAGAAGCCCGAGACAGAGAAAATGAACTCACTTCTCAACAATTTGAGGCCAGAGCTTTAACTTGCTTTTTGAATATTTCTAATTTTGGCCCCAAAATTCAGTTCTGCAGGTCAGAAAAATACAACTTTTTTCTTTTCTAATTTACTCTTGCAATTTGTCATAGACTGCCCTGTTTAGAGCTTGAATATTAATAAAGTTGAAATTATATATTTTCTTATACACATTTTTATAATTCATGGTTATTGGTATGAAAACCCTCAGCTTTTCATTTTCTAAATTGTATTTTCACATTTCATGTGGGAATTGGCAGATTGATACACAAATATTTAAAAAAGTCTGACCTGAGGTAAATTTTACAAAAGTGACAACACCAAGAATGAGTGAGTGAGTGAGTATGGTTTATGCCGCTTATAGCAATATTCCAGCAATATCCCGGCAGGGGACACCAGAAATGGGCTTCACACATTGTACCCATGTGGGGAATCACACCAAGAATGAAGATATGATGCTCAACATAATCTGACTTAAACCATCAGATATCAATAGTAGTGTGTAGATGATACCTTTGAAATAATATACTGCAGTGCAAATGATAAGTGAATATGATATATTTATGTCATTGTCAAGAAAGAGAAGAAATAATCTGAAAAATAAAATAGAAAAAGAAAAATTCATGACTCAGCATGAATATAACTACCCCCATTCTTCTTCAAAAGCAATAGAGGAACAACAAAACTAAAGTGATATATATAAGGTACAAATCAGATAAATATTAAAAATGTTGCTTATTTCAAATGAAAAATATTGGACCCAATAACAATATTGCTGAACTGGTCATATTGGTATACCTGACAATGCCTAATAAAAATTCAGGGTTAGAAATTTAATTTTCAAAACCATGTGGCAACTTTTATAAAAATGTCAACAGCTGAGTTTATCGGGTGCCAGAGCAGAAATTTGTTGTGCTCTGTTTTCAGGAATCAACACAAATTCAAAGATGGAAATATTCCAATTAATTTCGAAACCTGAACCAAAGTCAGCAAGTCAGCCTCAGCTTTGCAAAAAATAATGCTTTGAGAAGTTATGCAAAATGGGAAACAATTTATTTAATTCAATCATTCTAAAAACTGCAAAAGAATGACAGATGAAAAATAACTAAGGTATAAAAATTCTGTTAATAAGATGTGAAAACTGATTACATTTGATCAAACATGTTTCCCATTTTGATAGCATCTTCTCTGTACACAGTACCTATATCAAACTAAACCAGATGAAACTACAATGAACACTGAAATCTGAGACAACCTGAAATAAAACTCTGTAAAGGTGAATGTAAGGACAAAGACCTTCTAGGGAACTATAGGTCGAGTGCAGAGTGTGAAACCTCAGTAATCCATTGTATTACCTTCATTCTATCATGATAGATACCTGGCCCCATTCATTACCATAGCTACATACTGAGTTTAATTTGAAAGGCAACTAAAAACAACCATCCTGTTAAAAACCTCTTAGGCCTTAAAAAAAAAAAATGTTGTGGTTCCCATTACCCGACCGACCCTTGAATTCTGGTGCCGACCCTATTTTTTTTAAGCGATATGAATAAAATAAGCTATCAGATGCCATTGTTTGTTCCCAGCACCGAGAGACTTTAGTCATTCTGATAGAGAAAGTCAACATGATGTCCGAAAGCTTGATTGAATAAACAATTACACTTTGATAAATGTGTTATTAGTTTTTAAAAAAATAAATGTAAAAAATCCTACCTTAAAGAGGTGTAATCGGAACCACAACATTTTTTTTATTTGTCCTTATTAGCTGGATGCATTTTGTACTAAGATGGATATTGGGAAGATACTTCGGTAAAACGCTTTAGTTGCAAATGGGTCCAGGATAATAATCAATGTGGATAATAATCAATGTAGAATGATGATAATACCCTGGATAGTCGAGGGTGGAGTACGGGCTGAGCGTGCAGATAACTATGAGACTTCTGCTAACTCAAGCGGGGGACGTAAGCAGCTACAGTTGGTTACCTTCCTCCGACTCGACCAATCATCATGTGACGACATGGGGAGGGGAGGGTTTCGCTGAAGCTCCTCCCCTCGTGTCATCCTCTGTGGTCACATGACCTCCACGATGATCCTGTGAGTCTAGGGGGACTATAAGACGTGAAGGGACGTAACTTTAGAGCTTATTAGTTATACAAAATATCATCATTGATAACATCTAGTATCCCATATCAAGTGAATGTTAAGCATTAAAAGCATCACAGCACAGCAACGTCTTTGAAGGTATCACTAGGATTTAAGAATTCAAAGTAATCCCGAAACACAAACATTAGGAACTATATTCATACAGGTTTCACACACAGGGTATCATTTTATCATGCAGATGATACATCCTCAAAAACCAGGTCACGGTGGACATTAACAATGAAACAGTATCCATGGTAATAATTGTATACACAAATTAAGATGAGGAAGTAGATGTGTCTTCAATATGCTTAGAGATGAAAAATATTAAAATCATTCTAGTTAGTAATATATAAATTAGTCTACTGTGCCTAAATGTGACTAGTCTAAAATTTTGGAAAGAAAAATTATACCAAGAAATTAGGATTCTGTATACCTTGTATCTTTCAAGTGTTAATAAAAACTGATTACATTTTCAGGAACCTTTTTCATGATCATTTACATTTTAGATAACTGAATATATTGGAAACAAAAACATAGATTCTGGTCGCAATTTTTAAAAATTAGTATCATTTACAAAACAATATTCCAAACAAAAATTGATAACATTAACAGAAATTCTGCATGATGTAGTCAACATGATGCATATTCAGTGTTGGTAGTTTTCTGCTCAGAAGATAGAGATTGTAATGGTCTCTTTGGATAATAAAGTACTATTTTATCTGGTCCTCCCTTTTATGTCACCTTCGCTGGCAAGGTTTGTACAGATACAAAACAACTTCATTCAAGGACTTTTCAAGATTTCTCATGGTTTTCACATGTCATTTTGAAGGCCTTTTTAACTGGGTTATTAGCCCCTGTCTGTCAATACATACATTAGTTGTAAGACCGAAAATGAAAAATATTTTCACCATAAAAAAATACATTAATCATGGTCTTTGGCAGACCAATCTATAAATCACACTCAAACTTTTTAATACATATGTTATTTTGTACAAATACAAGGTCTTTCATGCATTTGCTTATTTTCAAGGTTACACTAAAAGAAATACGCTTTTCAAGAGGGACCTTAAAGGCCGTTCAAGCCTGTATGAAGTTTGCCTGGTTTCTGAGGATGAAAGGGTATTAACAGATCATGCAACATGCATTTTTAGCATTTTTGAGATTATTCATTTCCAAAAGAGAATGCAAGTTCAAATTACACAGAATGCAAGGTCAAATTACACAGCACCTCAAAATGGATGTGCTTGAGAGACTTGGCGGAGAGAGTTACCACGACACACAACACACCTAACTTACTCTCAAGATCCTCCTCACTGGGTGCCGGTACCTCAGTGGGTGGCACTTCCTCCTCCTCACCACCTCTAGACTCTACCTCTGTTACCATGGTTACACAGTCTTGTTAGTAATATCATTAAGTATCAACATAGAACTTCACACTTCCCAAATATTCAAATGTTTGTGGACCAAATGCATTTTCTTCAGCATTCAATAACTGGACTCAAAGAAGGATGAAATTTATGTAGAGATGTTCTGACAGCTCATCAATAGATCTTGGAAATCAGATCTTAGTGCGCCTCACTGATACAAGAATCTGAGGTCATCCATTACTGCATCCACTTCCACAAAGCGATCTCAGCGCTACAACAATTGTAAACATAAGTATGAGAGTTACGATCATCGTAGCGCTAAGATCGCTTTGTGCAAGCAGGCCCTGGTCATATCAGAATGACCTTTAACTTAACTTTGACTGACCAATGAAATTACTTCACAAAAGCAGCTTTCTTGAGCTTTACATTTACAGCACTAGTTTCAAAATGGTTTTCGACTCCAGACTAAGCTTTGAATAATATTTTGACAAAGTTCTTGATTAAAAAATAATTCTAGACGGTCTAATAGATTGCCCAGACTGTACGGCAATACTCCCTAAGGACTATGGAAAGTCTCTTTCATTTCACCTGCTTATTTGGGTGAAGCAAGAGAAAGACAATGAAATATACCATGTTACCCACTCAAAATCCCTTTCAAGACCCATTCAACACGATCAGACTGTCACTTTTTCGATCTGGTGTTTACTCAGCTGATTGGTTGGACAAAAGTTCTTATGATGTGACTTTTAATGGATGTCCTCAAATATTTGTTTAAACAGTAGCGAGAACTAAGATCTGATTTAAATTAGATTAGACAATCTAGTCATAGACTGAACTAGAGAGGATGGACATTATGACAATTGTTTTTTTCCCAAGTACCAGATTTTGAAAATTTCTCTTTTGATGATATCCATTCAATGTCCAAGAAAATGGACATATTAGATACCCTGTTACTTGTTTCAAATTTGTTAAATAGCAGAGGTCAATAGAAACTTTTACAGATTTTGGTTGAAATGTTAAATTATCTACCAAATAAGGTGTTGATACTTTTTGTAAGTGACAGTCAAGAGATGCTGAAATATCACAGCATCATTGACAAGTGTTTCAGGTCAAATAATGTTGGTAGAATGACAATGGAGTGTTTTTGATATTCTGAAAGCTCAAGACCAGAGTGTTTGCTAGCCACACACTACAGCACAAACTCTCCTGGCACAATATCTACATGCTCCAACCATCACAGGCAACACCAGCTAGCATACAGAAGTTGGTCAACTATTCCAACACTAGCTTCCACAGCATGCCGGTAAGTTACTCTACATCTAAATGATAGATCACAACAACAGGCTGAATTATATCAGACTCAGAGGACTAGAGATGTACAGATACAAACGTGAATTCTCTTGATGAAACATATTTAGAATTCAGGGTGTCATTGTACAAAGCGATCTTAGCTCTAAGGTGACTGTAGCTCCCATACCTTAACATAGACTTAAGGTAGTCTTAGCTCTAAGGTGACTGTAACTCCCATACCTTAACATAGACTTAAGGTAGTCTTAGCGCTAAGGTGACTGTAACTCCCATACCTTAACATAGACTTAAGGTAGTCTTAGCTCTAAGGTGACTGTAACTCCCATACCTTAACATAGATTTAAGGTAGTCTTAGCTCTAAGGTGATCGTAACTCCCATACCTTAACATAGACTTAAGGTAGTCTTAGCGCTAAGGTTGTTTTGTACAACAGCACCCTGGTCTTATCAGACTCTAATCTGTGGCAGATTGTCTAATCCATGGCAGAAATGTAGGATGTCTCTGTCACATGATGTCATGTCTGGAAAGACATATTATAATGCCATCCAGGGGCGGATACAGCTTTTTGAGAAAGGGGTGTGTGGTGTGTGTGGGGTGTCACACTCTTGAGCAGGGGTGGGGGTGCACACTTCAATTTCACCCGCTCTCAAGAGTTTCACTGGTCATTTAATAAACTTTCAAGACAAAAGGGGATTGCCCTATGCCATCTACTCTAACAAGCAAATTTTATATCCACCTGTCTCCATCAATTTTGCGTTGGTTCTTGTTTTCCCCTTTAAGACGTTCCCAACTGAAGGGTTATTTTAAAAATAGGGTTGGTGATTGTGAATGGAATAAGGTGGTGTAATTTATACAAAATCAAAACATTTCATCATTTTGTATGTTTGCTGACATCTCGTAGACACACCAGCCTACAATCTGCCATGGACCTGCGCCACACTATTGATCTAAGTTTTACACATGTGATTTAACTTCTGACATATAGCATCATTTCAATCAGCTAAACCAGACCGACATGATGGTTCTATAGTCAGCAACCACAAGGGTAATAGGTAATGTAATGATAGTCTCACCTCCGGTTTGCTCCTGTACGGAGGAGATGGACTCAGACACTCCCGGCAAGAAGCCGGAGACCGCCTGGGAAACTGCATCTTGGATCATCGTCTCCTGCTCCTGGTCCTCCATCGACACAGAAACGGAGGGTAATGCTCATCTGGACCTTCACGCGTCGGCTGGCTTCGCTGTCAGAAGAACCAGGGAAAAACTTGTTAAGATTTTGACTGATGACCAAATAACTGATACTTGAGTAAATGTGACATTTGAGTATCCAGCAAATCAAACAACTGACACATGGGAGTAAAAAGGTTTGTGGAGGCCCGAATGAATGCCAGTTTTATCATGTCAGCCCACTGCAATATCATGACATAATTAGTACATAGATCAGTCCTTGTCTTATCCCCTAAATCTTTAGTTAACAAGGCAGAAAATAACACAGAGCAGTGTTTGAAATTAAGCACAATAAAGATCTTTGTCCCTACTCTCTTCACGGTAAAATGATTCCACTACACAGTATTAATACATGCTAGGGCTGAACCAAAATCAGTGCTAATGTTGCCATACACAGAATAGAACTTTGCAAGGAATAAACACATGCCATTGAATTGGGCTTATAAACAATGTAATGGTGGCATGTATCCATGTTTAATGAAAATGGATTTTTAAATGGGGCCATGTAGAGCTCAAATACGTCAAATGAGCCCTACTCCAAGTCAAAACTTTGTGCAAACCATATGACACTGAAGTAATGTGTTTAACAGATACCACAAACTGTGAATGTGTTAAACCAGCAAAAAACGTAGCTTTTACTGAGATATTAAGTGAGCACTGACTGATCTGAGTACTAATCAGTTTCCTTCTTAATGATCATGGCTTTCATGAGATTCCCTCATTTAAAATAGTGACGGCATCAGTAAGCTACTATCTGTATTTAGGGATTATGGTGGAATGTAGTGTATAATACTCATTTAGTATTGACAATAATCAACAGGATGTCCTTCATTATCACATGTCTAGCTCCTGCTTGAGATAAAAAACAACTGACAAATGTTCTCCATTAAAAACCCTAGTCTGTTTTCACCTGTGATGCCGCTACAGTAGAGAGTTCAGTTTCCACAATCTGAGATTCCACCGCCATCAACCGATCTTTTGGCATGGGAGTTGATGTGGCTGAAGGGCCTTGTTTGGAAAACTTGGCAGCCATGCGGTTCTTGGGGACAGGGGAAGACACAAGTTTCTCTGGAGGATCATCAGGAGCGTAGTCCGGCTACAAACATGCAAACATAGTGTGTCGTGTCAAAGGGAGGTAACTGATGCATTTCAATAAAGAACATGAGGATGCCAATCCAGAAGCTTGCAGATAATTAGACATTGAAGTGAACAAGAAAATGAACGTTGTTTTACTCTGCAGTCAGCCATATTCCTGACATGTGGTCGATATCATGAGCAAACAACCTACAATGGAGGGTGCAGTGGCCAGGTCCCACAATCTAACCATCTGACACCCATGAGTCAGCAGTGGATTCAGTCCCGACAGAACCAGAGTATAGGCATTGTAATCCTTCTTGCAGATATGATAACAATATTCTTATTTACCACTTAAAGACATTAAGGACATGATTCCTACATATTATGATATAGTTAATCTGTCATGGCATGACAGATAGATTATGGCAGTATGAAAGGATTGGATTGTCCTCAACTTGTTTTAATAGTGAAGCTTTGTTATAAAGGGTGATTGTTTTAATAGTGAAGCTTTGTTATAAAAAGTGATTGCGACTAGCTGCACTAGCTGCTGATGTATCTTTAAGCACTCACTCACTCACTTGGTGAGTCACATAAAGAGAAAAAAACAATCATTTGTGAAATAATTAAAAACCTATGCCAGCACATTGCTCATGGTAATCTGCCTCCCTTGATCACATAAATAGATAAAGCCAATGATTTGCCAATCAGTAAAAGCAAATTATCCAGCATACCGCTCGTGGTGACCTGACGGGCATCTTGGGGGGAATGTAGGTGTACTGCCAGCGTAGTTCCATGTTGATGCAGCCGTTAGTCTTGCCGTCAGGCCGCTTCAGTTCAAACACTCCTGATACACCCTTGTCATGAGCCAGAGGAATGAGGGGGATCTGAGCGACGCCCATGTAGGCTGTGTCATCGGGGTCAGTGTCGTCAAACACATACACCGACAGGTGCTGTGGGGAGAACAACATTTATCAAACTCTGGACAACAACAGTAACAACAACAATGGGAATCTGTAATGTCCAAATTCACTTTACTTAAACTTACATCATTTGTAAGGTGAGGTGAGGTGAAATTGGGTTTTACGTCGTGCTTGAGAATATTTCGCTCATATGATGACGTGCATGCGTGTGTATGTGTACTTGCGGCTGCTTGTACTTGCCCAGACTTAAGCTGGTTTTATAGTGCTAGCCCACTGAGATACCATGCCGCAGTGAAGCATGAATACCCCACTCAGACACATTATACTGACTCCGAGCCGACCAGTCCTTGTTGTACCCATTAATGCCGAGCACAAGGCAGGGACCAACCATATTTTAACGTCTTTTGGTATGACGCGGTCGGGGATCGAACCCGCGACCTTCTGCCCTCTGGGCGGACGCTCTAACCACTACACCACGGAGGCGGTCGACATCATTTGTGACCAGTCATGACACAACAAGACTGAATGTAGCGACCCCTGTCGCTACAAAGTCACATGACTGGTCACATGATTGTACACATCAATGCAACTTCACAGTCCTTCATCATTATCACTACAATCAATGGATCCCTGTTCACACGACTTTCATTCTCAGCTCTTTGAGGACCATACAACCCAAGATGGATAACAGTTACCTTACCATATCATCCAACCAGCATCATACAATAATGAAACGGCAGTTAGTTCAGTCATGTATTTGACAGCTTCACAGATTTCTGAGTTTATATGAGAGCTTTTACAAAATTCCCCAAGCTGTACATACTGTAAGATATGTCAAAATAAATGCCCTGAAAAGGTGATGACACGAGATATGTTATCATGAATACCTACCATATAAAAAAACAGTGTAAACAATACAATGATTCATTTGTTGTATAATACCGCATTTCGCATTTGGATACCATGACATAATAAACCAAATCACCGTGTACAAGATCACCTAATTCATTTAATCACCTCTTGGAACAAGTGTCAAGTGTTGGGAATCTTTATTCTTACCCCAAATCCCAATGGGTGGCAAGACATTATGTACTGAAGATCTGAATATCCATGAACTAGAGAAAGAAGAAATGAAAGAATAACAACTATAATCATTCTTGGTACTTAACATACCACAGTTCTGAGATACTGGTCCAGATCACTGGTCATGGGTACAGGGTATGTCTTGTGGTCATTGAACTCAGGGTTGTTTGTGCTGGGTAGAATCACTGAGTCATGATCATCGAAATCGAAAAACTTGTACACACAGTAGGGAGAGGGCTGCACATCTGAAATAACAAGGTCTTCGTGAAACAATTTTACCCTTACATAGCACACTAAAACCTTTTCAGCCGTCAATATCAATACTTTTGACCAAACAATTAAAACAAATCATGAATTACCACTTAATAGTTCCACAGTAAGGGCTACTCAACCAGACAAACAACTGGTTGAAATCTCCAGTCTATGTCTTCAAGGTTCAAACAACACGTCCAGATAAAACCTTCAGATCCCCACTTATGTCATTTCTTTAACAAGCATTTGCTCTGGGGACCTATTCCATTCATAATCCCAGAAGAGAATCAAGAGAATAACTGACAAGCTATGAGAAACTACAGATCATTACCTTTTCGATTGTCATTACCAATTTACTGTTAATCAAATAGTCAAAATTATATAATCAACATAATCCACACGGTATAGTGAGTGAGTGAGTATGGTTTTATGCTGCTTTTAGCAATGTTCCAGCAATATCATGGCAGGGGACATCAAAAATGGGTTTCACACACTGTACCCATGTGGTGAATCGAACCTGGGCCTTTGGCGTGATGAGTGAACACTTTAACCACAAGGCTATTCTATAACCAACTGCAACTATATCTTTGTCCCTGAGGATATTATACTGATGAGCAATACAACGATGCTTACACCTCACAGAAATTCCTCATCTATACAACTTGGTTCAACCATAAAACCAATACAAACAAGAAGAGTTCTGTTCATAACCAAAACTGAACAGAGACAGCCATGGTTTTACAAAGTTTGCAAAACTTACTCTTCCTGCGTGACTTGATACCAGTACATTTGGATATCTTGATATGCAGCTCATTGACATTATCCATGGGTCGTTGAGCTGCCTGTTCATCCAGGGCCTGTAGAGCGTGCTGTGTAGCGTGCTGGTTGGTGGTGATATAACCAAGTGCCTTGGTCCTCTCCTGGAACATGTGAGCAGGTGAGTTGGGATTAATGCTACATGTTACAGTTTTAAGTCAGTGTGAAGCACAAATTACTGTAGATTCTAGATGTTAACCGCTACGGTAAAAATCCTGGGGTAAGAGTATATTACTGATAAACTAAGATCATAGGATCGTTGTACACCTAAGGGAAGAAACTCTGCATAATGAATGTTGGAGCCTTAGATGACAGGGTCAGAATTGCTATATACTAGTGGTGTTCCGATTAATTGAAATAATCGAAGATTGGTCGCAGTGACCGAACGAACGACCAAGCAATCGATCACATTTTTCTCATAATCGAACACAAACGATTTTGGAACTGCTGTTTTAGTCTTTGAAACACTTGACGATGGAACATATCTTCGAAGTTGTCGGGGCCTGCAAACTTGTTTAATTCTTAGAAAACTCACTTCACTAACTGAAAAGTCATGACTGAATATTTCTCTAAGACTCCAGGAAGTTTACGGTCATGGTATATTAGTCATCACTTTAAAGTAGCAAGTTGCATAATCTCATACATATCTGCAGTAACAACCTGGATATGAAAACCTGAAAAATGATGCTAACCAATTCTTTTCGATGATTGTTCGTTGGTAATGAAGCAATCATCAATTGTGAGATTTCAACCAATTCCCAACACTACTATATACTCAGAAAAATGAAGTATGGCAGGCATAAATCTTACAATCAGGTTCCTTCAATTCTTTAATAATTTTCAGACCAAAACAATCCTTTAAACCATTGTCTGTTGATGTCATTCTACATGACATTACTGCATAGAGATGCTGCAAATGGCACTCAGACGTCGTTGAGAACCTACCTTGTAGAGCCGGAGAGCTTGGTCCATGGGGACCCGTAGTCTCACCCAGTAGTCTACAGTTCCGAACCCAATTCCATTGATACCTTCACCAACACCTGGTGGAAAAGAGGAGGACTTAAATGTTACATTACTCTAAACATTACGTGATGACCGAATGGTTGTTTATGTACCAGTAATAACACTGCTGATGGCACGATTGAGGAGAGTTAGAAATCTGGTTGTTCAAGTGCAGTGTCTTCTAAGGTGACCCCTGGGTAAATGTTTTGGTTTAATATTCACATTGTTTCATTGTCTGTTGCTGAAGTCAGGCTGTACTTGGGACCAATTATCCATCACATTACACAAGGTAGACAAATGAATGGCGACAGAACAAGAAGACATGGTCATCAATATCCCCCGCCAGTGTTCTGTTCCTATTTGGTTCTAGTTATTTTACTCCACCATGAAATTCATTTCCTGAAAACACATACCATATTTGTTTGCTCTATCTTTAACGGTTACTGAGAAAATCTGTTCCCATTGGGGATACGGTGCACTAAGTCAAGAAACGCATGGCAAGGGCCATATCTCTGTAAACAAATTGTAACACATACCAAACTTGGTTTCACTATCTATACCAGTTTTTGAGAAAATCTGTCCCCGTCATCTCGGGCGGACGGAGCTCAAACCAATATCCCCCTCCCACTTCGTGGCATACCAACAACTTTTTAATGGAGCTTCCACTGAAAGCTGAGCTCCATGGTTCAGTTAAACCCATTAAGATCTTGGTTAGAATTGGTCTTCAGCAACACTCGACCCCCGATGTAATCCATAAAGATAATACATGACCTTACTGTAATATCACTTACCTGTAAATGTGGCAGTGCCATGTATTCGCCCATGGGGCTTGTCAAATATGTCTCTGAAGACAAGCTGACAGACTGCCAGTGTCTGGAAGTCCTGGCCAAATGATTGGTGCAGCTCCAGAGTACAAGAGTCCTGCAATACAACACCTGCAGGGTTACTTGGGGGACAGGACAACACCCTCTTCCACACACACCATCAACATTGTGGATTTATCTATGATTCCAAAATGTCATTGGCAGACAAATTAAATAAACTCATTGTTTTGTGCACAATTGGGATTTTGTAATGTAAGTTAGATTTTGCAAAATTCAGAGATGTTATAACATTACACTTTAACATGCAATAACATTCAATATTGTGGAACTAAGCATTATGGCCTCTTACTCTATACGAGCCATACAGCTGTAATATTGTGGACGACCAATCTTACACTATACCAGACCTGTTATTATTGTGATGTAGAGGGGTCTGTGGGAGAGTTGAGGAAGGTATAGGAGGGTATTGAGGTGGCATGTTGTTTTCCTTTTCTTTGATGACATAAATTAACACACAAATATTTATTTATACTTTGGTGAAAGGGTTAGTTGTTGTTTTGTTCCCTGAATGGCTTTACATTATATTCATACAAACCTGTAGAGGTTATGAATTCTTTGAAGAAAGTCCTCCTTGGGGTACGGCCACCCGTCTCCCCTCATTCTGTCTGAGCCATTTAGCATGAAAAGTTAAGTGCAAGGTTGACTGCTAGAGTTACCTGCTCTTGCCTGTAGGGGGCCCTGAGCGGCCCTGTAGGGTTGGTCTCACAAGACAAAAACGTGTTTTTGTGTTTTGTAAATATTTTTATTAAAATATAGTTACAACTGTCGTAGGTTTTAAAAATGACATTTTAATGCTTATATGTACCCCAAGGAGGACTTTCTTCAAAGAATTCATAACCTCTACAGGTCTGTATAATTCTTTTTCAGAGGAAGTCCTCCTTGGAGTACATATAAGCATAAGACAGACTCCCAAAGACAATTGAGCCGGGAGTGGTATTCTGTCTGACATAGTGATCCAATCAAAATAACAATCTACAACCGCACAGAAAAAGAGAATTACACTTACCTAGTCACATGACCGCCGATGTCAATCAAGGCAGGGGATGTGGCTAGGGGTGAGGACCCTGGATGTGTAAGCCTACATGCTGATTGGCTTATCGGTGTCACACCCACAGTAACAAACCCCACCCCCCAAACCAAAGGGTTGGAGGTGTGTAAATACGGGGGACTCGCCAAAACAAACTACTGTCCATAGCACACAGCTAGCCAAGCGTGGGAAAATGGAGAGTAAAAGTAAGGCACCGATATACCAAAGTAGAGCGGGAATAAAAACCACCACCACATACCGTCACCCATAAAGTGGGGGAAAGGAATAAAACCCGACACCAAGTGCAAAACAGAGTACATCATCTAGAAAGCTCAATCGGCTTGAGAGGTGCTACTCTGTCGAATGCAGAGAACCGTCTGGCCAAACCGAGCACGCTCACGCAAGGGTTTGTCCAACTGGTAATGGCGGATGAACGTACTCGGTCGGCTTCATATAGCAGCAGGGCAGATCTCCTCAATGGGCAGAGCAGCAGCATACGCCTTGGAGTTGGCTACTGCTCGAACTTAATAAGCCTTCGACCCCTCGGGGGGAGATAAGCCTTTATGTTAGTAAGCCATACAAACTGCTGACACAATCCATCTCGATAGGGTTTGTGCAGTAGCCGAATGACCAGCCTTGCCACTGCGGTAGCAGCAAAACAGCTGTTTCTCCTTGTGGAGAGACGCCGTTCTCTTAATATACGCTTTAAGTGTCTTGCGTACGTCTAACACGTAAACTTGGCATTTTGTGTTACCAGACGAAGCAGGAAGCGTAAAGGCGGGAAGATCGATAGGCGCCATTACATAGTCAGGTAGGAGTCAGGTAAGCGAATGCTTATCCTATCCTTATGAAAAATGTTAAGTTCCGGATCCGATGACATAGCATGATGTGACGCCACCAAAAATGCAGTTTTCCAACTTAAAAGCTGGAGAGACAAATCCGACAGATCGTAAAAGAGAGGACTGGACATCCAATCTAAAACAATGGACATGCCTGCTAAGAAACGCTGTACCAGGGGTGTTGCCCTAAAAGAGCACCCTCGGCGGGAATGTGGAAGGCTGAAATAGCCGTGGAGTAGCCTCGGATAGTAGACGCGGCTAGGCCGGCTTCTAGCCGAGACTGTAAAAACTCCAACACCTCGACTACAGTCGAAGAAAAAGGATCAAGGATCCCTCTGTTTCCACACCAGTGCGCATGACAGGCCCATCTATCCTCGTACTGTACGTTAGTCGAATCCCTCCGCGGAGCCAGAATTGTGTCTGCAACTGGTGCAGGAATTCCGGAGGTATTTCCTGATCTCGGGGTGCATCGGGTATGCGTCTTTGAGGTCGATTGATGTGAGCCAATCTCCTGCCTCTACAGACGAGATCACTGGGAGATCACAGTGTCTCCATCTTGAAAGACAGCACCTCGATCATGTCATTCAGACCCTTTAGATTGAGAATGGGTCTGAACCCTCAGTCCTTGGTAACCAGGAAATAAGGGGGAGTAAAACCCCAGGTTTTCCTGGCCTGTTGGAACCACCTCGATGGCTGCCATGTCCAGCAACGACTGGACCTTGGCACGGAGTCCTGAGATGTCGGCACCGGAGTGCAACGAATCCAAGAGAAAGGAGGAAGGCCTCGCTACCACTGCGGCATATGGCCATCCCTGAGTGTGGACAGGACTCAGGGGACGACCACCTGTGGCAAAACAGTAGCGATACAATCGTGTACCTGCCGCAGGGACGGGCCAAGCGAGAAGCTACCTTCCCCCGACTTCTCCTGACCCCCGTTCTCATCCATGGCTTCCTCCTCCTGCTCCTCCAGGAGTGAGCTCTCGGTGTCAAGATTCACCTCCGAAGACATGGAAGCAGGATCCACAGACAAGGACAACGGATCAATGTGAGCCGAGGTGCCTGGACCCAGGGAAGTGCCTGCCGTAACAGGATTCCCCGGAAAACTGGAAGGCACCGAGGTAACCGGCGGCGCCAGCACTCGAGTACCCACAGCTTGGGTGCCTGTTGCCAACGGTACGAGACCTGAAGAACCGGCGCCAGTGAGCTGGACTGTACCAGAACCGAGGCTCGGGTCAGACACAACTGCACCGACAGAGAGGCTGTCACCAGAGCCGAAGCTCGGATTAGGCACCACCCGGAGACAGAACCCATACCGGTGCCTAGGCCTGAGGTAGGGGTGCCTCCAGCAGACGACCCCGGACAGACACTAACCACCGAACGGATACCGATCTCTTGCCGTAGACCGGACATCTCGTCCGAGATAAGTTACCGAACCGAAGTCATCTGCTGCTGCAATATGGAGGACAAATCTGTTAACGTTATAGGTGCAGATGCAGAATAGGTTTGTGCAGATGTAGAGGGGATAGGGGAAGAAGGGTTTTGGCCCGCTTACCGAAGGGAAGAACTCTTCTTGCCCTTAGAAGTTTTGGAGGGTGGGTCCTTAGCCCATGTCCCAGTGAGGTGCCAGGTTGATGGCTAGAGTTACCTGCTCTTGCCTGTAGGGGTGGTCTCACAAGACAAAAACGTGTTTTTTGTTTTGTAAATATTTTTATTAAAATATAGTGACAACTGTCGTAGGTTCTAAAATGGACATTTAAATGCTTATATGTACCCCAAGGAAGACTTCTTCTGAAAAAGAATTCTCTATATTTCTTACAGCATTTACTCTTCCATAGAAACTGGAGGTACCAATGTGAAGATTGGTTATTGGCATGGTTGTCTAAACAGAACAGACAACGGTGATTGCCAGCTCTTTCAAGCAGTTAATGATGCATTGAAGTCAAGGGTACATAATTGCTGACTATCAAATATTACCTTTTGTAAATAATGTAAGAAGAAGTCATCCACTTTGACAACATACTGGGAGGTGAAGTTGTACTCAGATCTGTAACAGAAAGTCATTGTATTATCATGAGTTGTTCACCAAACAACCGATCAGGACCAATTGGAAAGATATTCGTTAGTCAACTAATGCCACAGGCTTGCAGCATACATAACAAATGATCGAGACCCATGAAGATCCGGGTTCGAATTGATCTTCAGCAACCCATTCTAGACGGAAGAGGCGACTCACACGATAGGGTGGTCAAGCTCACTGACTTGGTTGGTTTCCCAGTTGTGTAGATTGATGCTCATGCTGTCAATCACTGGATTGTCTGGTCAGACTCGATTATTTACAGACCGCTGCTATGTATGTTAAACAACAAACAAACAAATCTTACCTTGGACCCCTGACGACTGGCGTGGACTGAATCTCAAACTCGAAGAACTCCCATGTGCAGAATATCGAAGGTTCTTCATCCCCAAGGGCACGTATCGCATCATTAGACAGGTTCACCTGATACAGTGAGGAAGCAAAATCTTAAACAAATCTCTTCAGAAAACAACTTTCAAGTTTGTCATGTAGAAATATAATCATGAACCTTTCCCACTTGAAGGCAAATAAACGGTGTCAGGATATATCAGGTATATTTCCAGATTCGTATTAAAATACTTTCCCCGATTTGATTATATTTTGTTCACGTTTTTACATTATATCACTTAACCATAGTACTGATAAATGATTCCGCTAGCACCATAAAGTTACATCAACCTGGATTAAATTAAATAAGCTTGACCACAAAAGGTTTCACTGTGACATGTTTGTTGGTAACATGACAAAACAAGTATGTATTCCTGGTCTCAGTACTTACAGAGTTTAAACATGTGACTCACCTTGTTGATATGTATTTCAAAGAGATTCTGTCCCCTCTCCAGATGAATCGTCTCATCAAATTCTATTGTTGACTCCTCCTGAACAAGAACAAAAGCCATGAACTAATGCATATAATCATCAACAGCCACATTTGACCACTACAACATTCAGTTTCCTGCCACCAAGGCACACTGTTCATTAACTTCTTGATTTTTCAGTTTGACAATGGACCTGGGTGCTGTTATACAAAGCCACCTTAGCGCGCTACGACAGTCGTAGGTGTACGTTGAGGTACAGTTACCTTACTGTTGAGAACGCTTTGTACCACATCACCCTGGCATATGGCACAACAACAACAAAAGAAACAATGTCTGTTGTAGCTCTGACTGGGAGTTTCTACAAGGCAATAGGTTGGCAAAGACTCACATCTTCAGTTGGCGGCATAATCTTGTATTGTCGGGTTCCATAAGCTACATCCCGAAGCTGAGCTTCCAGTTTCTGAAATACATCCACAAACCATGAAGATGCTATACACAAAACCTCAAAACAGAAAGAAATGACATATAACAAAGTCAAAAGAGCGGTATTTCTTGTAAAATCAAGAGCAATCATTTCGTGTAAAACATACAATAGAAGTGTAACAATACATAGAGGTGTAACAATACAATAGGGCGGAGGGGTAGCCTAGTGGTTAAAGCATTCGTGCGTCACGCTGAAGACCCGGGTACGATGTGTAAAGCCCCATTTCTGGTGTCCTCCGCAGTGATATTGCTGGAATATTGCTAAGAGTGGCATAAACCCATACTCACTCATTCACGACACAATATGTATCCCGATACAATGGGTGAAATATGGTTCGGATCCCGATTCAGGACTGATACCTTCCATTTCATCAATTGATATCATGACATCACGTTCATTACATAAGGTCCAAATGTGGAGCGCAATAGTGCAGTGGTAAGGCGTATGCCTATAACGCTGAAGGTACAGGTTCGATCCCCGGTGTAGGCACCTAGGTTCTGGTCCTGAGGTGGGCACATTTGCGTAGCATCCTTGGACAAGATACTTAGATCCACATTGTCTCAGTTCACCCAGCTGTAAAATGGGTACCCGTGAGGATGTGCTGGCAATGTGAGTATTTAGTTCATTGCGCCTAACAGGCAGCATGGCTGTATGCTCCCAAGGGAGTTAAAAAAGTATCGGAAAGTACTATAGTGTCCTATGACCGGGGATAGTAATGTACGTAGCGCCGTGAGCAGGCAATTTGCCTGGATATGAGCGCCATATAAGCGGACTATTACTATTACTAAATGCACTAGTATGACATTCTATATTCCTATTGACCTTGATTTACACCACTACCACACAATCCACAAAAGCCTAAACAAAGTCTCAATTGTTCACCATTCATCAAAATATTTTCACCATTGAAATATCCAACCAGTGAACAGCTAGATTCGGACTAATGATTTAACTGAAATAGGTTGGAGAGAAAACATGTTCCCAAGGGTTTTCATTGGTTGTGGACAAACAGACCAGTGGCAGTGTCTATCAGTGCAGTTTGTGTCACGGAACCTCTGGTCGACATCAGCAGGAACCATTGTAGACCACCCCACATTGCTATGATTGGAGAGAATGACGTTATATGCATCCTTGCATAGTGATTGATCATTCTAACATGGCTACTTAAAATAGATCTTGCTTACATTCCACATCATTTAAAGTCTCATTACATCTAGTACCACAGCCTGCGAGGCCAGAAGTACGAAACAAAACTTGTTACTTATCACTGTCATTACCTTTATTCTAGCCTGCCGTATATCTAGAAGTCGAGCATACTCATCCAGTTTCATCTCATACTCCTTCTTCACGTCTGCCATCTTGCCAGCAGACATCTCCACCTGAAAATCATAACAATATTCATACAAAAGCCTTACTGAAACTTTGGACCAATGAGTACATAGTGAAATACAAAGTGACATACAGTCCATTATAATGCTTTAAGAGTCACTGTACATGCCTTCACAGAAAAAACATAAAACAATATCCAGTGTAATTGTGTCAGGGGTGTCTTTATCAAGCAAACAGTTTCTAAGTGAAAGAAGTCAAACAGACACTATTATGAACTTGTGATCACTTGACACTGAAACCATGTGTCGATGGCCTTGACAAGTTATCAAGCAAAGATCATGCTGTCAAGCAAGGTACAAGTTATGAAGCAAAGTAATAGCTGTCAAGCAAAGTTTGTGCTGTCAAGCAAGGTACAAGTTGTCAAGCAAAGTAATAGCTGTCAAGCAAAGTTTGTGTTGTCAAGCAAGGTACAAGTTATGAAGCAAAGTAATAGCTGTCAAGCAAAGTTTGAATAGTCAAGCAAGGTACAAGTTAAGAAGCAAAGTAATAGCTGTCAAGCAAAGTTTGTGTTGTCAAGCAAGGTACAAGTTATGAAGCAAAGTAATAGCTGTCAAGCAAAGTTTGTGTTGTCAAGCAAAGGTACAAGTTATGTTGTCAAGCAAAGAAATAGCTGTCACTTTGTTGTCAAAAGGTTTGTGTTCTCAAGCAAAGTACTAGTTGTCAAGCAAAGTTCATGTTGTCAAGCAAGGTACAAGTTGTGAAGTAAGAGGTACTTGTTGTCAAACAAGGTAACAGCTTTCAAGCAAGGTTCCAATGGTCAAGCGTGTTGTCAAGTAAGGTACATGTTGTCAAGCAAGGTACATGTCTAGTAAAGTACGTTACCAATCGAAGAGCATGTTGTCAAGCAAGGTACAGGTTGTCAAGCAAGGTACATGTTGTCAAGCAAGGTACATGTTGTCAAGCAAGGTACATGTTGTCTAGTAAAGTACATGTTACCAAGCGAAGAGCATGTTGTCAAGCAAGGTACAGGTGTCAAGCGAGGTACATGTTGTCAAGTGAGGAACATGTTGTCAAGCAAGGTACATGTTGTCAAGCAAGGTACATGTCTAGAAAAGTACATGTTACCAAGCGAAGAGCATGTTGTCAGGCAAGGTACAGGTTGTCAAGTGAGGAACATGTTGTCAAGCAAGGAACATGTTGTCTAGTAAAGTAATAGCTGTCAAGCAAAGTTTGTGTTGTCAAGCAAGGTACAAGTTATGAAGCAAAGAAATAGCTGTCAAGCAAAGTTTGAATAGTCAAGCAAGGTACAAGTTAAGAAGCAAAGTAATAGCTGTCAAGCAAAGTTTGTGTTGTCAAGCAAGGTACAAGTTATGAAGCAAAGTAATAGCTGTCAAGCAAAGTTTGTGTTGTCAAGCAAGGTACAAGTTATGAAGCAAAGAGTTAGCTGTCAAGCAAAGTTTGTGTTCTCAAGCAAAGTACTAGTTGTCAAGCAAAGTTCATGTTGTCAAGCAAGGTACAAGTTGTGAAGTAAGAGGTACTTGTTGTCAAACAAGGTAACAGCTTTCAAGCAAGGTTCCAATGGTCAAGCGTGTTGTCAAGTAAGGTACATGTTGTCAAGCAAGGTACATGTTGTCTAGTAAAGTACGTTACCAAGCGAAGAGCATGTTGTCAAGCAAGTTACAGGTTGTCAAGCAAGGTACATGTTGTCAAGCAAGGTACATGTTGTCAAGCAAGGTACATGTTGTCTAGAAAAGTACATGTTACCAAGCGAAGAGCATGTTGTCAAGCAAAGTACATGTTGTCAAGCAAGGTACATGTTGTCAAGCAAGGTACATGTTGTCTAGAAAAGTACATGTTACCAAGCGAAGAGCATGTTGTCAAGCAAGGTACAGGTTGTCAAGTGAGGAACATGTTGTCAAGCAAGGAACATGTTGTCTAGTAAAGTAATAGCTGTCAAGCAAAGTTTGTGTTGTCAAGCAAGGTACAAGTTATGAAGCAAAGTAATAGTACTGTCAAGCAAAGTTTGTGTTGTCAAGCAAGGTACAAGTTATGAAGCAAAGTAATAGCTGTCAAGCAAAGTTTGTGTTCTCAAGCAAAGTACTAGTTGTCAAGCAAAGTTCATGTTGTCAAGCAAGGTACAAGTTGTGAAGTAAGAGGTACTTGTTGTCAAACAAGGTAACAGCTTTCAAGCAAGGTTCCAATGGTCAAGCGTGTTGTCAAGTAAGGTACATGTTGTCAAGCAAGGTACATGTTGTCTAGTAAAAATTATAGTACGTTACCAAGCGAAGAGCATGTTGTCAAGCAAGGTACATGTTGTCAAGCAAGGTACATGTTAGCAAGGTACATGTTGTCAAGCAAGGTACATGTTGTCTAGTAAAGTACATGTTACCAAGCGAAGAGCATGTTGTCAAGCAAGGTACAGGTGTCAAGCGAGGTACATGTTGTCAAGTGAGGAACATGTTGTCAAGCAAGGTACATGTTGTCAAGCAAGGTACATGTTGTCTAGAAAAGTACATGTTACCAAGCGAAGAGCATGTTGTCAAGCAAGGTACATGTTGTCAAGTGAGGAACATGTTGTCAAGCAAGGTACATGTTGTCAAGCAAGGTACATGTTGTCAGGTACATGTTGTCAAGCAAGGTACATGTTTGTCTAGAAGAGCATGTTGTCAAGCAAGGTACAGGTGTCAAACGAGGTACATGTTGTCAAGTGAGGAACATGTTGTCAAGCAAGGTACATGTTGTCAAGCAAGGTACAGGTGTCAAGTGAGGAACATGTTGTCAAATGAGCAACATGTTGTCAAGTGAGAAACATGTTGTCAAGTGAGGAACATGTTGTCAAGCAAGGTACATGTTGTCAAGTGAGGAACATGTTGTCAAGTGAGGAACATGTTGTCAAGCAAGGCACATGTTGTCAAGTGAGGAACATGTTGTCAAGTGAGAACATGTCCAAGGAGACATGTTGTCGGGCGAGGAACATGTTGTCAAGGAGGAACATGTTGTCAAGTGAGGAACATGTTGTCAAGGCTGAGGAACATGTTGTCATGTCAGGAACATGCAAGGTGAGAACAACATGTTGTCAAGTGAGGAACATGTTGTCAAATCCAGGAACATGTTGTCAAGTGAGGAACATGTTGTCAAATCAAGGAACATGTTGTCAAGTGAGGAACATGTTGTCAAGTGAGGAACATGTTACATCAAAGGCACATGTTGTCAAGTGAGGGAACATGTTGTCAAGCAAGGTACATGTTGTCAAGTGAGGAACATGTTGTCAAGTGAGAAACATGTTGTCAAGTGAGGCACATGTTGTCAAGCAAGGTACATGTTGTCAAGGAAGGAACATGTTGTCAAGTGAGGAACATGTTGTCAAATCAGGAACATGATGTCAAGTGAGGAACATGTTGTCAAGCAAGGTACATGTTGTCAAGCAAGGTACATGTTGTCTAGTAAAGTACATGTTACCAAGCGAAGAGCATGTTGTCAAGCAAGGTACAGGTGTCAAGCGAGGTACATGTTGTCAAGTATGAGGAACATGTTGTCAAGCAAGGTACATGTTGTCAAGCAAGGTATTGCGTCTAGAAGTACATGTTACTGCTTCGAGCTGTGTAATAGCTGGTTGTCAAGTGAGGAACATGTTGTCAAGCAAGGAACATGTTGTCTAGTAAAGTAATAGCTGTCAAGCAAAGTTTGTGTTGTCAAGCAAGGTACAAGTTATGAAGCAAAGAAATAGCTGTCAAGCAAAGTTTGAATAGTCAAGCAAGGTACAAGTTAAGAAGCAAAGTAATAGCTGTCAAGCAAAGTTTGTGTTGTCAAGCAAGGTACAAGTTATGAAAGTTGTCAAGCAAAGAGTTTGTGTTGTCAAGCAAGGTTACAAGTTATGGAAGCAAAAGTAATAGCTGTCAAGCCAAGTTTGTGTTCTCAGTAGCAAAGTAATAGTTGTCAAACAAAGTTCATGTTGTCAAGCAAGGTACAGAGTTGTGAAGTAAGAGGTACTTGTTGTCAAACAAGGTAACAGCTTTCAAGCAAGGTTCCAATGGTCAAGCGTGTTGTCAAGTAAGGTACATGTTGTCAAGCAAGGTACATGTTGTCTAGTAAAGTATGTTACCAAGCGAAGAGCATGTTGTCAAGAGTTACAAGTTACAGGTTGTCAAGCAAGGTACATGTTGTCAAGTGAGGAACATGTTGTCAAGCAAGGTAAGTGATGTTGTCAAGTGACATGTTGTCAACATGTGAGCAATGAACATGTTGTCAAGTGAGGGAACATGTTTGTCAAGTACATGAGGAACATGTTGTCAAGCAAGGTACATGTTGTCAAGTGAGGAACATGTTGTCAAGTGAGGAACATGTTGTCAAGCAAGGCACATGTTGTCAAGTGAGGAACATGTTGTCAAGCAAGGTACATGTTGTCAAGTGAGGAACATGTTGTCAAGTGAGAAACATGTTGTCAAGTGAGGAACATGTTGTCAAGCAAGGTACATGTTGTCAAGTGAGGAACATGTTGTCAAATCAGGAACATGTTGTCAAGTGAGGAACATGTTGTCAAGTGAGGAACATGTTGTCAAGCAAGGCACATGTTGTCAAGTGAGGAACATGTTGTCAAGCAAGGTACATGTTGTCAAGTGAGGAACATGTTGTCAAGTGAGAAACATGTTGTCAAGTGAGGCACATGTTGTCAAGCAAGGTACATGTTGTCAAGGAAGGAACATGTTGTCAAGTGAGGAACATGTTGTCAAATCAGGAACATGTTGTCAAGTGAGGCACATGTTGTCAAGCAAGGTACATGTTGTCAAGCAAGGTACATGTTGTCTAGTAAAGTACATGTTACCAAGCGAAGAGCATGTTGTCAAGCAAGGTACAGGTGTCAAGCTAGGTACATGTTGTCAAGTGAGGAACATGTTGTCAAGCAAGGTACATGTTGTCAAGTGAGGAACATGTTGTCAAGTGAGGAACATGTCAATTGAGAAACATGTTGTCAAGAGAGGAACATGTTATCAAAGTGAGGAACATGTTGTCAAGCAAGGTACATGCTGTCAAGTGAGGAACATGTTGTCAAGCAAGGTACAGGTTGTCAAGTGAGGAACATGTTGTCAAGCAAGGTACATGTTCTCAAGTGAGGAACATGTTGTCAAGCAGGGCACATGTTGTCAAGTGAGGTACATGTTGTCAAGCGAGGAACATGTTGTCAAGTAAGGAACATGTTGTCAGGTGAGGAACATGTCAAGCAAGGCACATGTTGTCAAGTGAGCAACATGTTGTCAAATCAGGAACATGTTATCAAGCGAGCAATATGTTGTCAAGTGAGCTTAGGAACATATTGTCAAGTGAGGAACATGTTGTCAAGTGAGGAACATGTTGTCAAGTGAGCAACATGTTGTCAAGTGAGCAACGTGTTGTCACGTGAGCATCATGTTGTCAAGTGAGGAACATATTGTCAAGTGAGGAACATGTCAAGCAAGGTACATGTTGTCAAGTGAGGAACATGTTGTCAAGCAAGGCACATGTTGTCAAGTGAGGAACATGTTGTCAAGCAAGGTACATGTTGTCAAGTGAGGAACATGTTGTCAAGCAAGGTACATGTTGTCAAGTGAGAAACATGTCAAACAAGGTACAGGTTGTCAAGTGAGGAACATGTTGTCAAGCAAGGAACATGTTGTCAAGTGGTGAATATGTTGTCAAACAATGTACATATTGCCAAGCTGGGAATATGCTGTCAGACAAGGTATAAGTTGTCAAGCAAGGTACATGTTGTCAAGCAAAGTGCATGTTTTCAAACAACAAACAAGTTGTCACACAAAGTACAAGTTTTCAAGTAAGGTACAAGCTGTCAAACAAGGTACATGTTGCCAATCAAGAAACAGTGCTGTTTGAGCCATGTAAGCAGAGGGGTTCAAACGACGAATAGAACCCCTGACAACAGGATGGCATCCAATCATTACCTCTGTCTGGTAGTCCTTGTTTATCTTGTGTTGGACCATCAGCATGTTGCGGGTCTTCTCCAGCTCATGGACTGTCTCTGCATACTCAGCCTGGAGGTCCAGCAGCTGCTTGTGGTAGTCTGGAGAATACACCATAGACAATTACATTGTGTTGACACAATTGGAAATTGTAACATAAATTGTATATTTACATACTTTATCCTATCTCACAGTATAAACCTCTCCTTTTTCTTGTACGACCATGTATGGAAACATGCTGTAGGCTAAGTTGAATCAAACTTTCTGGCCTCTGACCCCTGACCTCTGCCCCACTCCATAGCAGGACCTGTCAATCATCTCAATAAGCGTGCAGATTGATCTGATGATCACCTGACAGCCTGCCCTTGTCATTCTCTTACTTGTTGCCACGTTGTGTAGACGTGTGCTTCTTTCAGTGAATTTGATTGTGTGTTCAATCATGGGCAAATCAAGTCGCAGTGCGTCAAAGAAACGCAAACATTCGATAGATGTAATAGTAACATTTCTAAAACCACCAAAGCACCATATTAGCAATAGGTATAAAAAGTAAGTTCCTGACCTTTGGTCATCTCGTTGTCGACCTGCTGCAGGAAGTCCGGCTGTGGCATGGCCTTCTGTTTCTTCTGCTTGACCAATACCAGGGCCTCCTCCATCTCCGTGAAATCTACAGCACTTCCCTGCACAGGATGGAGCAACTCACTTAGTTGGTACTATGTATAACATATTGTGCTTACTGATGTCCAAGTTCTACATAATCCTTAAACAAGGCAGATACAATTTCAGACTATAAGTGAATAAGTTGGGCCAAGTCACAGCTGTCTTCCTGAGGCAAGAGTACTAGGCTGTCATTTCCTGACAATGTGTTCCTGCATGCCAGATTAATGTGGAAGGTTTGGTTGCAGAAATAGATGAAAGAGTGAGTGAGTGAGTGAGCATGGTTTTATGCCGCTTTTAGCAATATATTAGTGGTGTCCCCCATTGTGATATTGCTAGGGCTTCACACATTGTACCCATGTGGAGAATCGAATCTGGGTCTTCACTTAAACAACTAGGCTACCCCACCGCCCACAGATGAAAGTGATCTTAGACATTACGTATTTAAGTGAAGCCACTAGCAAGGACCTAGTGCTGACAAGACAAAGGATCAACATGGGGACAGATTTGGGATGGATCCTGAGATGGGTAAGAGATGCAACTCTGCACAGTAAATTCCTGCACTTTGAGTTAGTAGGACTTTACACTTCTTTCAGTAAAATTTAGCCACGGAACTAGGCTTCACACATTGTACCCATATGGACAATAGTACCATTCAGTACGACAAGGTGAAGCTGAAACCACCAGGCCACTGTCCCTAAACTGCTGAAGATGGCTGCATACCTTGGTGAAGAACTTCATTTTTTCCTCCAGGTCATCATACTGCTCCTTGATCTGGAAGTACTTGACCTGCAGCTCCTGGAAGTCACGCGCTAGCTTCTCGTTCTCATCTGGAACACATGTACAGGCACTGCTTACTGCTGTGAGGAATAAACTCAGTAGATACCAGAGATAGAATATACTTGTAATTCAGGTCCAGATGGCATGGTTGAAATATGTCCCTGGTGCCTCTCAACATGATGATGGGACCTCACACAAACCACATGTTGTATGACATGAAGCTAGTGGTAAAGAACTTTTGCAAAAGATTGATAGTTGAGACAACAATCTTAAACATGTTCTATAAAACCTGAAAAAATGCTAGACCTCATATTCCTATATCATACACTATTTAACTTTTGGAAATATTTCATATGCTAATCATATCATTTCAAAATATGTGTCAATAAAAACCAGAAACAAAGGAGCACTGTATGTTAATTAAGAAATACTTGTGCACAGGATTTGACTAAAATAATCACAACAAACAACTTACCCCTCTCCATTGCATATTTATCAATGATGCCCCCCTTCTCTCCAAGGTCGGCCTTGAGTGTGGCCTCCAGCTGTGCTATCTGCACTTTAAGGGCGTTCTCCCGCTGCCTCCATTCACGCTCTCTCTCAAGATCAAATGCACTGTAACAATGTACATACAATACCAGCTTAACATAGCCTTAAGACTCTTTTAGAAAGCATTCTTTAAGCCAGAATATGGGTTTTATTATATACATAGAACGTCATACTAGTGCATTTGGATGTTCTGCATTGAATGAGATGTTCGTTTCTTCGAACTCGTTTCTCTGCTCCCATGACATCTTCAAGTTCAATACAAAACATCCAAATGCACTAGAATGACTTTCTATATTTTTTATATACCCTCTTATCTTTCATTAATCTGTTATTTAATAAGTAGAACCAGCAGGGGTTCAATACGGAATCTGGGGTGCAATACGGAATTTGACCACGCCATCCGTATTGCACCCCTGTATTGCTATCCTAAGTTTACATGGGTATATAATAAATTTTGTTACAAAACGTCAAATGGGCCTCAGATTTGATCCATCACAGTTGTGGTAATGTTTGAGTTTCACGATCATTTATCTTGCAGGCCCCCATTCCATATCTTAGCATTATGACTACTAGTCTATGTTAATGTACTGGAGTTGTAATCATCTTCGTGCTTTCATCTGACTAAAGATTATCCTAACACATATATTACAAAATCTTCCGACAAAAAGATATCAATGCATATGTCTTTGAAAGAAAAGTCAGTATTCTTGATTGTTTGTAAATGACCTTACCTGCTAACAAGCTTTTCGTTTGCTTCTTTCAAGATTTGGCTTTCCTTCTGCAGGTCAGACACCTGCTCTTCAAGCTGTTCAAAGAAACAAGGAATATTCCTTATGCAAGTTATCAGTGCATAAGTAGATGCCGTCTACCACGACACTCAGCAACATTCCAGTTATATCATGATGGCCTGTAAATGAGAAAGTCTGGATGGGGCAAACCAGTGAGTAATAGTATTAGCAACAAACTACACCATTAAGGCACCACGACAGATCATTTTTTGTGGGATGAAAGCCAGAGTGATGCAGGTCTCGGATGTGTAACCCAGAAGCATTGAGTGAGTGAGTGAGTTTAGTTTTACGCCACACTCAGCAAAATGCCAGCTATATGGCAGCGGTCTGTAAATAATCAAGTCTTTATCAGACAATCAAGTGATCAACAGCATGAGCATCGTTCTACACAATTGGGAACTGATGACATGTGTCAACCAAGTCAGTGAGCATGACCACTCGATTCCGTTAGTCGCCTCATACAACAAGCATGGGTTACTGAAGATCAATTCTCACCCAGTCCAGAAGCATTGGCATGACATGGTGCAGACAAACCTAGAAACAAAATCAGATCAATCAGGATTCAAACCCACAATCATAAGTTGCTGTCATGCCCAAGAGATGCAACTACTGGAACCCCATCCCCTGATGTTATATAATTCTGTACAATTCTGTACAATTCTGTACTTGGCATGGTCATGTATGCTGATGTAAATAGTAATCAGCAGACATCGAGAGTCCTCCTACCTCCACCACCTTCCTCTGATTGGCCGAGTTGTACTTGAGTTCGTTCTGCAGAGTAAGGCTCTTGTTTTCTTCATCCTTTAGCTTCATGTTCAGCTCCTCCATTTTCATCAGCACCTGGTCATGGTTCATCTTTATCACGCGAGTGTTCTGAGGAAAAGAGGAACATTATTATTGCTTACATATGAAACAGGCAATCCCTCGTTCTTCAATATTACCCATTGCCACAAGTTATTAATGTTAAACACTATGTATAACAAGACCTCACCTCCTCCAGTGATGAGTATTTGTCTTGGATGGCCGTCAGACGAGTGGACTTCTCCTTCACTTGCCGCTGGAGTCGGATCATATCAATGTTCTCTTGTAGGTTAACTCTGAAAAACAATTCATTGTCATAGAAGTATTCAGAACTAATAGAAATAAATGAAATTTTTAGAGTAAAATTAATATTTTATACTTATCCTGACTCATGCTTATTGCTTGTCTTCTTCTTCTTGCGAACATAGTGGAACACGTGTATCTCCCAATTGAAGTTCCCTTCAATTAAAAAATCACTAATCAGTACTCACCACGAGTTACCTCCCTTCCACAAGCTCGGGAACGAGGGCGCCACCCGAACCCATGTGCCTCACTCTCTCCTTTTGTTTCGAGCCCGACACTTTATTTTTCCGAAGAAATCCAAAGTGTTAAGTGGGGAGGACGGGAGGGCTTACCTCATGAGTCAGGATAAGTATAAAATATTAATTTTACTCTAAAAATTTCATATTTTTCCTTATCCTGACTCATGCTTATTGCTTGTAGAATCCGATGAATGAAAAGGAGGTGGGAATATATATACTTTGGATTTTAACAATTAGTGATTTGAACTGTGATGATTGTAATAACCCTATGGGAACTTCATAAAGGCACTGAACTGATGAATTCCTGCTGTTTAACTTATCAGCTGCCATATAAAGGTTATTACAATTTATAGAATATGATAAAGTATATACAACATTAATGTAAGCTGAAGCTATTAATGTGATAATATAAACTTCTGTGAGTTTATAGTGGATACTTTTATAAATTAACCAAAGTATTAAGCTTAAGATATGCATATATTTAAGCTATAATAGTATAGTATAGTGCTTAAGATATAATTATAACTTAAGCTGTATAATAGTAACCAACTCCTTAGAGTTTGTTAACTAATACATTTATGCATATGACCATATGACTGAGCTTAAGGATTGATGAAACTTAAGCTGAACCTATATATATATAGTAGCAAAACTCCTAAGAGTTGTAAGCTTATATATAGTATGATATAAAAACCATAATACTGAGCTTAAGATAATAAATTAAACTTAAGCAAAATATATAGATAGCATGTAGCTATTAGTACTGTTATCAGATAAGTATAAAATCTGTAAGATAGACTTATCTTCTCCGTGGAACTGTCAACTGTTGAGCTTGAGAGGACCATGGGACCGAAATGGTGGATACCTGAGACGCCCTCGGTGGTGATATCTCTCAGATAGTGGTTGGCAAACACCATATCGGATCTCCAGAAACATCCCTCCATTATGGTATTCAACGAAAGCAATTCCCATGTAGAGCGAGGTTGAGGCTAGCAGCTCTAATTTCGTAAGGATTAGAAGCTCTTGGAGGGTCGAGTCCTGCAGCCTTGTAGGCACGTGAGTATGACAGTTCTGATCCAGATAGAGATCGTGAGTACGCGAGACTTCCGCTCATGCGTAGCTGTAGATATAGGGATAAATAATCTCTTGAATTTCCCTCTGCTCTGTTTGGATCGTTGGAGATATATTTTCAGTGCCCTCACTGGGCATAGTGATAGATCCATCGTATCATGCGGTCCAAGTATGGATGAGAGAGCTGGGACGTGAAATAATCTGTCTGGTTGACCTGGCAGTTGGTTTTTCGCTATAAAATCCCAGCGAAGTCCCAGATGAGCGATGTTATGAATATCATCAAAGCCGCATTCTCTCAGAATCCAAAGCTGAATCTCTGACATCCTGGCGCCGTGAGCTAGCTAACAGGAATAAGGTTTTGTGGGTCAGTGATTCAAACGATGTAGATAGCAATGGTTCATAAGCCTCACTAGTGAGGTGTTGGAGCACTATATTTAGATCCCAGGCTGGAGCTTGAAACTTCCGCTTCTGATCCTCCAATCGAACGCCATAACAAAGCGAAGTAACTCTGGTGTTTTGTTAACTTGACGCCCGTTCGCATAGTTATGACAGAACTTATGGCTGCAAGATAAGTGGACAAGGTTGAGCCTTTTAGATTCTTAGTTTGCCGTAGATAACATAAGAAATCTGCCACTTGAGGATGTGTAGCATATCTGGCTGTAAATCCTTTCTTAGCAGCGTAATTGACAAAACTGTGCCATTTGTCATCGCATTGCCACGAAGTTGAGTTACGAAAGCGTGACCGCTTTAACAGCTCTGGCAGAATAACCTCTTTATTCAGACATGCCTTGATACAATCCATAACGCGAAGTTGGAATGCTTCTGGTGTTTCGCGCACTTGTTTGGTGTGCAGATGTATCAATAGATTGGCGCTGTGGGAGCTGAAGAATTGGTTTTCCCATTACTTGAATGAGATCTGGAAACCAAGTTCTTGCTGGCCAGTAGGGCGCGACTAAAATCAGATGGAGGCTCTGCGTTTGACTGATTTTCTGTAAGACTTGTGGGATCAACGCTGGAGGTGGAAAGCGTGCGACGCTTGAGTCTCTCCCACGATATGCTTAGGCGCCCGCTGCCCATGCTAGTGGGTCTGGCACTGGCGATACACGTGTTGTCAGTTGCTTGTTGAATCGAAAGTGGCGAATAGGTCTATCAGTGGAGATCCTATTTCCATGATTATTTGATTGAATATCTCTGTGTGGAGCATCCATTCTGTCGGCGACGGTACGTGGTGGCCGAGAGAGCCGCCTGCTAATACATTCTTTGCTCCTGGAATGTGGCAAGCTCTGACGCGTGTATGTTTAGATTGTCGATTAAATCAACAGTCTGAAACATCGAGTCAGTAGGTTCTGTGACCTTGTTGAACCTTGTTTGTTCACATAAAACGCCACTGTTGAATTGTCTGTGAACCATCAACTGAGCGCTCTGTAGTATGTTGCTCCAGTGACTTATGGCGTTTATGACTGCTTGCATCTCTAGCAGATTTATGTGACATTTGCTCTCTTGATTGCTCCATAGGCCTGACGCTGTCCTGCCAGCAAGGTGGGCTCCCCAACCTTGTAGTGACGCGTTTACGTAGAGATGTGAGTTCGATTCCGCCTCTACTAAGGAGACGCCTACGCAAACATTCAATCTCTTGGTCCACCAGAGTAGATGTGGTTTGACATAATCTGGTAGACTGAATGGTAGAGGGTCCTTGAGATGAGCATTGATGAGGACTTGTAACGGGCGTGGTGAAGCCTGCCTCTGACTGTCAAGTCTTGAGCTGATGTGAGTAGTCCCAATAGGCTCTGCCACTGTCAGTAGTGGTAACGAGAGAGTAGGGCTTGAGGAATAAGTTGTTGGATCTTGATCCATCTGTCCTCCGGGACTACAATACGATTCTGAGCTGTTAGAAATCGTATACCTAGAAATTGCAGAACTTGCGTTGGTTCTAGGTTTACTTGAGTAGATTTACTAACCATCCTAATTGTGTTAGTAGCTTGATTATAAATTTCAGCTGTAGTCTGAGACGCTGTGGATCTGGATCCACTTGTATACCGTCGTCTAGGTAAAAAGCGCTGCGAAAACCTTGACGATGTAGGTATGAGACAATAGGCTTGGTCACTCTTGTGAATACCCAAGGGGCCGATGTGATTCCGAAGGGAAGAACCTTCCATTGGTAATGTTTCCCATCTAGGATAAATCTTAGATATTTCCTTGAGTTGGGATGAATCGAATGTGTAGATATCGTCTTGCAAATCTATGCTGGCCATGTAATCTTTTGGGACGAATTAATTGCGAAGTTAAGGTAAGTGTATCATGTGAAGCGTTGGAGGTTTGCATAGATATTCTCTGTTGAAGATGCTCATGTTGTATATGAGACCTTAAACTTCTCCTTGGAATTTTTCTTCGGCACTAGGAAAACTGGGGAGTAGAAACCTGGTACGATGTTTCGTTGATCCAGAACTTCTAAGGCCTGTTTGTTTAGTAGAGTAAGTACTGTTTCTCTTAACATAGGTAGTTGTGCGGTTGAACGTTGAACCCTGGGGTTGACTGTTAACGGAGGCTTGGCCTTGAGTTGTATTAGATATCCGTGCTGTAGGATGTTGGATACATATGGATCTTGTAGTATTCCCCAGTTTTCCCAGTGTAGCTGAAGGCGTCCACCCACTTGAGACGGTTGTACTGGAACGGCTGGGGGTGGAAGACTCCAGTCGCTCCGAACCTGAATTTCATCGTCCTAAATCCATCGGCACCTCTGGATGATCCGCTCTAGCTGATCCTCCCTAAATTTGTTGTATGGGCTTAATTTTAAAAGAATCCTTGGGATCTTTAGCTGCAGCTAATTTCTTGTCCCGTGCTTTTTAGCCCCTAAAACTTAGACTTGCCTGAGTATCTCTGTGTTGACTGTTTAATGACGCTTAAGCTAAGGTGTCCATGGATCTGATCATAAGAACCTCTCTCGAGTCTTTAGATACTTCTTTGGAGACCTTGTCTATGTTGCCACCAAACAGTAAGGCGATGACCATGGAGCAGTGTATAGAGATTCTGTAAATTGCTTATCCCAAGAGCAGGAGGCTAGTAAGCCTTGCCGGATTTGAGCCATGGTAGTAGTTTCAGTAAGTGCTGATAGGTGCTCTGTAAGAAATTGGTGGTCTCTTTTCTGCATGAGTAGAGCTGAGTAGATCATTCTATCTTCCTCCTCTGTAGAATTCTTGAACTTGGTGATGAGAGTTTCATTAATCGTTCTAGATCTATTCAATCCAAAGAACATCCTCCTGGCGATGGTATCTAGTTGAGCGAATTTGCGATCGTCTACTTTGTAACTTCTGGACTTGGCATCGCTGATTAATTTAAAGTTGTCATCAATATCCTGGGCCTTGAAAAAGGGGTCCATATTGTGTCCAGCAAATTTCTTGGCATTGAAGACCGGGAAATGTGTAGATTGGACTTTTGAAGATTTGGAACAGGCTGTATCCAAATTAGCTGGTACCGCTGCAATCGGATCAATAGGACGTAAGGTGATATTGTCTACATCATCATCCTTCATCAGGTAAGTCTGAGTTGAATTCTCGTTCTTCGATGGGGAAGCAAGTTGTAACTCATTCACCATCCAGTATCTGATCTCAGCATCTCTGATGTAGGGTCACATGTCGGAGTCCTAGATCTGTAGGAAGATCTATGAGAGGACTGTGGTGAACGGACTGACGAGTGGCTAGTGTAAGGAGACCTTGGAGGAGACATGCTCGGCGAACGCTGGGGACTTCGCGAAGCTCTTCTAAATCTTCTGGGCGAGGTAGATATGGAGCCACTTAGCCTTCGCGACCTTCGCGAATGTATCGAGTCAGTGTCCGAATCGACATATGAGTGCTTGCCTCGCGAACGACCTCTGTGTTCTACAGGGTGTGGGCTCGGCGAAGCGCTCCTTCTCCGCGATGTCCCTCGCAACTGGATAGGCTCTAGCTCCTTCGCAGAGGCGGCCTGGGACTTCCTTTGCGAAGTGATCGCTACGGGCTGGGTTGCCCTTCGCAGAGGCGCTGCGTTTGTGGGCTCTGGGGCCTACTACGGCTGCTAAGCGGGCTCTGGGGCCCGTGATGACTTATTAAGTGTTGGGCTCTGGGGCCCGTGGCTCTGGGGCCTCTGTAAACCGTGAACGGTCCTCCATCAGTCTCATGATTTGGTTAACCAGGTCGTCTGGGACAGTCTGCTGGCGCTGAGGGTGGCCTCTCTGTGAAAGTGACGGACCCTCAATCGTAAACTCAGGCGTCAGCGTAGGCATCTCTGGTTGCGTGTTTATCTGCGCTGTTGTGACGGTAGCAGATACTGGACGTTTCTTATGACGTACATCTGGAATGATAATCGGAATGTCATCATCATATAAACATAATTCTGAGACAGGTAGAATATCGGAGGCAAAATTATTTGTAGTTTTTGTAGATTTCCCTTTTGACGAAGCTGTGGACCTGGGGGTTCGAAGCGTACGTTGAGATGATGTGGACGCTTTCCTAGTCTTAGACTGAGAAGACGGAATGTCTTGAGATGCAGGTCGCTTCTTGGACATAGCGGACTGCGTCCCACGCTTATCCCCCGAGGGAAACTCCGGCATGCCACCAGCCGGTGGCGGGTCGTCAGTCAACAGTTGACAGGGTATAATAGCTTCCAATCTATTAGCCATGACTGAAGATTGTTTGCAAGATTTATCTGCCTTCCGTCTCAAAACGGAACATAAATATTTATCAAAGGCAGAGATTGGTAAATTAATACACAATTTACAACGAGAAACAATAGAACATGGAGTAATGCAACTAGGGCATTTTAAATGTGGATCGGTATCAGAATAACGTAGTTTACAACCCGTGCAGATTCTCATGAACGTAAACTGCTGAACAAACACGGCGAACCGTGAATAAAACAGCAGAAACACGACTAATAATCAATGCAAGTTGAATAAGGATACTAGTTACACCTCTATAACTGAATATGAGAGGTACTAAACTAAATATAAATAAAGGATATAGTGTGTTGGGAGACACAGGCTCTCTCACGTCCAGCTCATTGGGCGAAGAAGGAGAGAGTGAGGCACATGGGTTCGGGTGGCACCCTCGTTCCCGCGCTTGTGGAAGGGAGGTAACTCGTGGTGAGTACTGATTAGTGATTTTTTAATTGAAGGGAACTTCAATTGGGAGATACACGTGTTCCACTATGTTCGCAAGAAGAAGAAGACAAGCAATAAGCATGAGTCAGGATAAGGAAAAATAACTACATTTAATAATAATGATAATAATGCTAATTTTTGCACCTAGGATCCAACACAATGCTGTTCTCTGGCGTTACATTATTACCCTGACTGAATTGTACTTTCATAGCCACTACTAAGTGCTTCGCGTGACCGTATAGGTCCGTACATCCGCTTCTCAGGTACCCATTTTAAACAATTGGGTGGACTGAGTGCAATGTGGACACAGTGCCTTGACCCAGGTCACAAATTTTTGGTGTCTCCACCGGGATTTGAACCCAGGCTTTTGGCGTGAGAGGCAAGCACACTAACCACTTCACCCCTGTGCTCCATGGATGTTCTTTAAGATATTTAACAATGATAGGAAAACATATCTTACTTTTGTTCAGCAGTAATTTGCTGTTTGATCTTCAGAATATCTTCTTCGAATTCTGATTCCCTCATACGATTCTGAAGAAAACAAACAATACTAGATGATAAATCAACAAAAAAATGATTCCATATATGGAATGATCTCATTATAATGTTAAACCCATTGTTACTTAATCTAAATGGCACAGTCAAACACACAACTAGTCAAGTCACAACATGTTCCTGGTCTAGTTAACACCACTAACCTGTTCTTTCAGACTTTCTATTTCAAGTTCATAAACATTGATTCGTTCTTGTAGCTCATTCACGTAGTGTTGTCTGAAATAAAATGAAGAGGCAAAGATGGTGACTGGAGTCATGGCTGTTGTAAGTACAGTAATAAGTATAGTCAGATTATGTGTTTTCGGACGTCATATTTTTCGGCGACGCCAGTGTTACATATACTGTAACAAAGTTTGTAGCATCACTGTATGTTAGCGACATGTTTTACAATCGTCCTTGCCATTAGCAAGAGCACAACAAATGTTCTGAAGCATCAGTAAACCTGTAATCATGAAATGAGGATATAGGTTTACATCTGACATTGGAAGTAGGATTCATTGTATGGCCTATGAATGACTATCTAAAATTGTAAGAATCAACAGCTTCTTCTCATCAAACATATGTAACAATTACTCATCACATACAGGTGACATTTATTTCTCATCACATACAGGTGACATTTACTTCTCATTACATATAGGTAACATTTACATCTTATCACACACAGGTAACATTTACATCTCATCACACCCAGGTAACATTTACATCTCATCACACCCAGGTAACATTTACATTTCATCACACACAGGTAACATTTACATCTCATCACACACAGGTAACATTTACATCTCATCACACACAGGTAACATTTACATCTCATCACACACAGGTAACATTTACATCTCATCACACACAGGTAACATTTACATCTCGTCACACACAGGTAACATTTACATCTCGTCACACCCAGGTAACATTTACATTTCGTCACACACAGGTAACATTTACATTTCATCATCACACACAGGTAACATTTACTTCTCGTCACACAGTTAACATTTACTTCTTGCCACACACAGATAAAATATACATCTTATCACACACAGGTAACCTTTACATCTCATCACACACAGGTAACATTTACATTTCATTACACACAGGTAACAATTACTTCACATCACACACAGGTAACATTTACTTCACATCACACACAGGTAACATATACTTCACATCACACACAGGTAACATTTACATCTCGTCACACAAAGGTAACATTTACATCTCGTCACACCCAGGTAACATTTACATCTCATCACACCCAGGTAACATTTACATTTCGTCACACACAGGTAACATTTACATTTCGTCATCACACACAGGTAACATTTACTTCTCGTCACACAGTTAACATTTACTTCTTGCCACACACAGATAAAATATACATCTCATCACACACAGGTAACCTTTACATCTCATCACACACAGGTAACATTTACATTTCGTCACACACAGGTAACAATTACTTCACATCACACACAGGTAACACTTACTTCACATCACACACAGGTAACATATACTTCACATCACACCCAGGTAACATATACTTCTCATCACACACAGGTAACATATACTTCACATCACACCAAGGTAACACTTACTTCACATCACACACAGGTAACATATACTTCACATCACACACAGGTAACATATACTTCTCATCACACACAGGTAACATATACTTCTCATCACACACAGGTAACATTTACTTCACATCACACACAGGTAACATATACTTCTCATCACACACAGGTAACATATACTTCTCATCACACACAGGTAACATATACTTCACATCACACCCAGGTAACATATACTTCTCATCACACCCAGGTAACATATACTTCTCATCACACCCAGTTAACATATACTTCTCATCACACCCAGTTAACATATACTTCTCATCACACCCAGTTAACATATACTTCTCATCACACCCAGTTAAAGCATAGTGGAAACAGCTGCTTCCCACCTCATCAAGTCACATCACCAGCATCAAAATATATAACAAACAAAATGATTTTATCCATGTTAAAATAATTCATCTCTCCAGGTTTAAAAAATTCAATAATTTAGGGCAAAGTATGTGACTTTCTGCAATAGAGAAACGTGAAGAACTTACAGATTCCTCTTCTCATGTCTAGTTTCTTCTAACACACTGTGACCATATCTGGGACCAGTGGGGCTGTGCGGACCTCTACAGAAGCAAATGAAAGAAAGTCAAGAAAGTAGACAAAGGGATAGTTGTCTCAAAGTGGTTACAGTTTGTTCTGAAACACAGTGCTTAGCAATATTCCACTTGTATGACATTTGTGTGGAAATAATTCAGTATGGACCAGACAATCCGGTGATGACAATGTGAGCTATAATCCACTCAGTTGGGTATGATGACATGTAATAACCAAGTCAATAAGTCTGACCAACTGATCATGACCAGCATAGGATGTTGGACCTATTCTAAGTCTGAATCCCAAGGGACAACTAGCGTGAGAACTAGTTCACAGCACAACGAAAACTTTACGAATCGTTTTATCCAAACATCATAAATTTGTATAAATACACTGCCATAAAATGAAACAAATGCACAGAAATCTTAGTGATTGATAATAATTGTACAAACTATTAACATAAGAACACCCTGATTATACAACTATGGTGATAACTTCAGCCTAATTTTTCATAAAACTATTTCCTGTCTTTTTTTACTGAATCATTCCAGTTATCTGGAATCAAATGATAATGAGAGCCAACTGGGGATCAATATCTTACCTTCGGCCAGTCTCCATTGGAGGTCCCATTACTCGGAGATTCTTGGTTATTCGGGGGTCAATCTGAATGGTCTGCTGTTTGGCAATACCCTAAACAGATCAGGGGAATATTTATCATTGAAGACTCTGCCATCCACTCAGTCGGCTTGTATGGGTCTAATGAGGTCATATTTAATGTGACATAATTGCTTGTCACAATAAAACTGATCCTGTTTGTGCATTGTGAATGATTAACTGTTTACATGAGGAGAGGTGAAATTGGGTTTAACGTCGTGTTTGAGAATATTTCGCTCATATGACGACGTGCATGCGTGTGTATGTGTATGTGCGGCTGCTTGTACTAGCCCAGACTTAAGCTGGTTTTATAGTGCTAGCCCACTGAGATACCATGCCGCAGTGAAGCATGAATAACCCACTCAGACACAGTATACTGACTCCGAGCCGACCAGTCCTTGTACCCATTAATGCCGAACGCCAGGCAGGGACCAACAAGTACCATATTTTAACGTCTTTTGGTATGACGTGGTCGGGGATCGAACCCGCGACCTTCCGCTGTTTACATGAGTCACACACAGGGTGTACAGTATGGTTTTACAAAGCAGAATGACATACACCATGTGAGCTTTGGCCTTTGCTTCATTATACAATGAGTGAGTGGCTGAATTTGGTTTTATGCCGCTTTTAGGCACAGTGGGGGACACCAGAAATGGGCTTCACACATTGTACCCATGTGGGGAATCAACCTGGGTCTTTGGTGTGACGACAAATGCTTTCACCCCTAGGGTACCCCACAACCCCTTTCATTTTAGAAGCTTGTGCATAAAATAAAAATCAAATGCACATGGCGGGTGACACCAGAAATGGGCTTCCCACATTGTACTCATATGGGGAATCAAACCCAGTGACCAGCGGACACTTTAACCACTAGGCTACCCCACTGCCCCAGAAAGATTGTTTGAATATTCCTGCACTTCCTGTAAGGGAACTATAAGTGATGCTACGGAAATTCCACAGTCTCTTAGATGGAATTTAATGGCACGGAAAACAATATCTGACAAATATGAGTTCATTACATCAGGATAAATAGGGTTTGTTCACATATTTATGTCAATATTGAGAACTTGTTTAATGAACATGACTCACTCCAACTAAGGATATTAACTAAAGTTTAATCTTCTCAAACATCTGTAATGCTGCTTTATGTTAATAGAAAATCATTTGTATGGTCTGACCTGTAAAAATAAATACTTCATAGTCAAGTTTTGGTACATATACATTGTAGTCCAAAACTGTCTGCCATACCGTATTGATTCTTGACTGAACGTGATCATAAGCTGTTGGCCTTTTACTGGCGGCATTAGCTTGTTGTTTGGCCAACATCAACTGAAACACATGACAGAATCAGGAAAAAGTGACATAACGACACATCATACTGCCAAAATATTGTTCTGGGTTTTTTTAGGTCATTTTTTTTATTCTGAACCATTTCTATGTGTGATATACATGAACAGATCGATGCAACACTTCAACAATCAACGGAGGTCCATAGAGTTTTGAGCAGGTTGTTACTATAGTACTTGCATCTCAGGTCCACCTTAACCTTTAACACTGAGGTTATGTCAAGGATCCCTTGACTTCCAAGCTCATATTTCAAACATTCACTTAATTACATCATGTATCATGGTCACTTCTATGGATGTGATGTTACAGCATTACCTTTTCTTTAAGCTGAGCATTTTGCTTCTCATATTCTCTCATCCTCTCATGCATCTCTTCCATCCTTTCTTCAGCTTCAATGTCGCGTACCTTCTTCCCACCTTTCAATACAAAATGGGTTATAAGCTCAAAACAGATGGTTTAGTGATGCTAATGACACATAGATGAGATTACATGTGAATGTTGCATTCACATGTATTGTACATCTTGAGTGAGTGAGTGAGTTTAGTTTTACGGCGCACTCAGCAATATTCATGCAAACCTGTAGAGGTTATGAATTCTTTAAAGAAAGTCCTCCTTGGAGTACATATAAGCATTAAAATGTCCATTTTAAAATACCTACGACAGTTGTAACAATATTTCAATAAAATCTTTTACCAAACAAAAACTCGTTTTGTTTAGTGAGACCACCCCTACAGGGGTCCTCACAGGGCCCCCTACAGCCAAGAGCAGGTAACTCTGGCTGCTTACCTCATACCTTACTTTTCATGCTGAACGTATCAGACAGAATGAGGGGAGGTGGGCAGCCGTACCCCAAGGAGGACTTTCTTCAAAGAATTCATAACCTCTACAGGTTTGTATCATTCTTTTTCAGAAGAAGTCCTCCTTGGGGTACATATAAGCATTAAAATGTCCATTTTAAAATACCTACGACAGTTGTAACGATATTTCAATAAAATATTTTACCAAACAAAAACTCGTTTTGTTTAGTGAGACCACCCCTACAGGGGTCCTTAAAGGGCCCCCTACAGCCAAGAGCAGGTAACTCTGGCTGCTTACCTCATACCTCACTTTTCATGCTGAACATATCAGACAGAATGAGGGGAGGTGGGCGGGCCGTACCCCAAGGAGAACTTTATTCAAAGAATTAATAACCTCTACAGGTTTGTATCATTCTTTTTCTGAAGAAGTCCTCCTTGGGGTACATGTAAGCATAAGACAGACTCCCAAAGGTGGCGAGTCGGGAGCGGTATTCTGTCTGGCTAACATACCTTCCAGTTCAATCGAAGGCACAGCCGAAACCAAGAGAAAGAGAAAAACACACTTACCAAGTCACCTGACCGCTGATGTAAATCAAGCGGGGGCGTGGCAAGGCGGGGTATATGGAGCCTAGCTTAAATGCTACTGGCAAAATTATAATGACAGACGTAAGTCCCATCCCCCAACCATCAAAATGGGAAGGAATGTATGGGCAAGTCCTAAATATTCCACTCATAATCTCAAACCAGCGAAGCGTGGTGCAGGGGAAAAGACAGTGGATATAGCGTAAAGCAACGCTGGAGCCAATAAAAGCAATAAAAACCACCACCATTATGATACCGCCACCAATAAAAATTGTGGAATTTTTATAACCGACACCAGGAAGCAAACAACAATTGAAACTTTGAAACCTAATTCGACCGGAGAGTCACGACACTGCCCACTGGTGAGAACTGTCTGGCCAAACCGAACACGTTCCCATGAGTGTTTGTCCAGCTGGTAATGGCGGATGAACATACTCGGTCGGCTCCAAATAGCCGCTTAGCAGATCTCCTCAATCGGCAGTGCCACGGCATATGCCTATGATGTAGCCACTGCCCCAACCTTATGAGCCTTTAACCTCAGGAATAGTTAACCCTTTGTGAGTGTAACTCATACAAATGGCAGAGACAAGCCACCTAGATATGGTCTGCTTGTTCGCCGGAAGACCAGCCTTACCACCGCCATAACAGCAGAACAGCTGCTTATCTTTCCTGATAGCGTTTCTTTCTTTTTTGTTTGATATAAGCCTTGAGAGTCTTACGGACATCTAAGATGTGAGCATGTCTAAGAGAGGTACCGGATGATGGAGGCTGAGTGAAAGCTGGCAGTTCAATAGGCGCCGTTATGTGAAAGGCGCCTGTGATCGTAGGACGGTAAGAGTCTGGCAACCGAATACTGACTGTCTTTGTGAGAGACAGTCAGAGCAGGATCCGCTTACATCGTGTCGATATCGCCTACCCACCGGCCAGATGTTACCGCCACAAGAAAGGCAGCCTTCCAACTTAACAGCTGGAGTGAAAGAGACGACAGATCGTAAAAGAGAGGACCGGACATCCAATCAAGAACGATTGACAAGTCCCACTGGGGACTAATGCGCGGACAGTCGGACGGATTCTGTCCACGCCTGCTAAAAAGCGCTGCACAAGAGGGTGCTGCCCCAAGAGAGCACCTTCGGCAGGTACATGGAAGGCAGAGCTTGCCGTGGAGTAGCCCCGGATAGTAGACGCGACCAAGCCAGCCTCTAACCAAGACTGTAAAAACTCAAGCACTTTAACTACAGTTGAAGAAAAGGGATCGAGAATCCCTCTGCCGACACACCAGCACGTATAGCAGGCCCATATATCCTCATATTGAACGTTTGTCCAATCCCTCCGCAAAGCGAGAATTGTGTCTGCAACTGGTGCAGGAATTCCACTTGCTTGGAGGCAATTCCGGACAGTGGCCAGGCCACCCACTGAATCCTGGGACTCGGGTGCGGTGCTCCCTTCTGGGCGCTCCCTTCTGGGATAGTAGGTCCGGTCGAAAGGGTAATAGTAAAGGAGGCTGAGCCAGAAACCTGAGTAGTACCGGGAAACCAGCTTTGAGTCGACCAAAGAGGTGCAAGGAGCACAAGCAGTCGAGCTGGTTGGGTGGCAAGCTGCGAGAGGACCTTGGGAATCAGGGGTAATGAAGGGAACGCCCACAGAACCCTGCCCGTCCAATCGAGCTGGAAAGCATCTGAGGCGATGGCTCTCGGATCCAGTATCCGATAGCAAAATACCGGAATCTGGTTTCGTCCCTCTAGAAGCAAACAGATCCACCTGGAACGACCCGAACAACTGGGACATAATCTCCTGATTGAGCATCCACTCGTGCGGGGCCAGGATGCGTCGAGGGAGCGCGTCTGCTAGAACGTCGTCCACCCTGGGGAGATAAACAGGCATCACCCGTATGTTGAACTGGTCGCACCAGAGCAGAAACTGCCACGCCTCTTGCAGGAGAGACAGGGAAACTGTACCGCCCTGTTTCAGGATATAGGTCATTGCCGTTAGGTTGTCCATCTCGAGACGAACCACACGGCTTCGAACCTGCTCCCAGAAGCGTTCGAACACTAGCCGGACTGCTCTCAACTCTAGCACATTGATGTGCAGTTGCGCCTCGCTCTGTGCCCACAGGCCTGAGACTGATAGGTTGCCCAGAACGCCTCCCCAACCTGAGAGGGAGGCGTCTGTCTGACTCGAGAGATCTTGTAAAGTGATGTCCAAGGGGATCATGGCAGGAAACAGCGAACACGCCGGCAAGGTTACAACAAATCATAAATGAAAAAAGTCATACTAAGATTCCAGCTAACGCCCTTGCGAAAGAGAAGGAACCATACATACAGAATTCGACTCTTTCTCACTCATTTCTCTTTTCGTAGATAAGGCAAAGACGTGTCTTCTACTGGACCATGCACAACCGTTCTGGACGACAGCATGAAAAGTAGGTAAGCAGCCAGAGTTACCTGCTCTTGGCTGTAGGGGGCCCTGTGAGGGGCCCTGTAGGGGTGGTCTCACAAAACATAACGAGTTTTTGTTTGGTAAAATATTTTATTGAAATATTGTTACAACTGTCGTAGGTATTTTAAAATGGACATTTTAATGCTTATATGTACCCCAAGAAGGGCTTCTTCTGAAAAAGAATCGAGCTATATGGCGGCAGTCTGTAAAAAATTGAGTCTGGACCAGACAATCCAGTGATAATCAGCATGAGCATCAGGGCTCGACATTCACGCTATCCCACTGGCCCGGGACTAGGAAAATGCTGACAGGACCAGTGCAACTTTGATAAGTGTTATCCCGACAGTCAAGTAGATATTTAAGCTGTCAACAAGAGTCCCTTATACAAGGACCAGTAAGATTCTGTAACTGTAAGGACCAGTGATTTTTAAAAGTTACTGGTCCTGTGGTCTTGTTCGGGAATTTGGATGAATGTCAAGCCCTGAGCATCGATCTACGTAATTGGGAACCGATGACCTGTGTCAACCAAGTCAGCGAGCCTGACCACCCGATCCCGTTAGTCGCCTCTTACGACAAGCATGGGTTACTGAAGATCAATATTCTAACCCAGCTCTTCACGGGTTGTACTTCTTAAGAGTCTGAAATGACATTACTTAATCATGTTAATCAACACATTCACAATTGATCCTAGTAATGAAAATATCGAAAAACCCATAAAAGTCTTACCTCCCCCTCCATCTGAATCAAGTTTCTTCTTGTCATTAACCAGTCGCAGCAACTTGGTTGCCATTCTGAAAAAGATATGTACATTAACAGTGTTCAAAATGAAGAGGGATAATGGGACTCTGGAGTCACCATTCTGAATAAAGAGACACACATTTACAGAGAAAAAGAGGGGTTATTGGTTCCAGAAGTTGCCATTCTGAATGAAGATACATACATTAACAGTGTTCAAAATGAAAGGGGGTTATGGGACCCTGAAATTTCCATAATAAATAAAGAGATACACATTTACAGGGTTCAAAATGAAAAAAGACGGGGTATTAGACCCAGAGGTCACAATTCTGAATAAAGATATAGACACTCTCAGCATTCCAAATTAAGGGGGTACACATCCCAGTCGTCTTCTCCTATGCAGGGATTTACATGGAGTCTTGTATTTGAGGGTCCTTAGAACTCATACTCTTAATTTTTAGGGGTCCTTGACCATAAAATGGAGTGTCCCAGACACATATATTATTATTAATACTGTTATTGTATTGTGT